AGGAACTGATTTTAAAAAAGATTCTGGACTGTGCAGAAATGGACAGTCCAGAATCTTTTTTAAAATCAGTTCCTCCGTGGGTAGTTCCTCACTCTTCCAGTATTGAGCAAGTGCAATCCTCGCCGCTGTGATTAAATGTAGCATCAAATACATTTCTTGTTTGCTAATGTTTTCCGGTATAATGCCTAACAAGAAAATTTCAGGTTTAAAAGCTAAGGATTTTTGTAGCATTTGCTCAAGCCATTTATGTATTTTAATCCAATACTTTTTCACATGTTCACAGGTCCACCACATATGGTAAAAAGTACCCACATCATGTTTACATTTCGAACATCCGTTTGACATGTTTGGAAACATCTTGGCTAACTGACTTGGTGACAAATACCATCTATAAAACATTTTATATAAATTTTCTTTATACGAAGTTGCTAGTCACCTTAACATTTCTCTCCCATAGCTTTTCCCACTTTTCTAATTCAATATTATATCCAAAATTTTGTGCCCATGTTATCATAGTTTCCTAAAACTTGGCATGCATATTAAGGAGACACAAAAGGTGTTGCATCTCATGGCTACTTCGTTTTAAAATGCATTGATGTTAACACGTCCATGACAAGCACCTAGTCGTGTTTGAAGCTTGAGAAGATTAGCAGGTGGAGAGAGAGTTCTATGTCATGCCAACATGATGAATGCCTTCAGACCATACTCTGGGCTTATTACAGCCCAAGGGATATTTTGGAAACACCACAGGCCTTCTTTAAAGCTTTTGTGCGATTTAAATAAAATTGAAATTCTTGCTAATTGTTTTTTTCTTATTGTATTGTTTTTACACCTTGCTGTAAATTGCCCAGAGAGCTTTGGCTATGGGTGACATAGAATGTAGTAAGCAGTGATGATGATGATTCCAGTTCCCACTTTTATGGGGCAGCCCCTCAAAAATCGGAGTATATGGCACTTACGGGGGTACAGGGGTGCACCATGGGAACTGCCATGTTGCAGCAGGGAAGAATTCACTTGGGCTCGGGTGCAACGCATCCAACTCATGACAGCTGCATAACTCACTCCCAATGTTTCAGGCTGGTTAATGTACCAAGATTCAGATAAGAAGGAATACAGCAACAGAACTGCCAAAGAAAAAGATCTTGGAGTAATTGCGGACAACAGGCTAAACATGAGCCAACAGTGCGATGCAGCCACCAAAGGGACAAGTGCTATTTTGGGATGCATTAATGGAAGTATTACTTCCAGATCATGAGAAGGAGTAGTTGCCCTCACTAGTCAGACCTCACCTGGAATACTGTGTCCAGTTCTGGGCACCAAGAATTAAGAAAGACGCATGTGAATTAGAAAGGGTCCAGTGGAGGGCAACCAAAATGATCCAGGGCTTGGAAACGCTGCCCTGTGAGGAGAGGCTGAGGGAACTGCCTTGAGAAGAGAAGCCTGAGTGGGGACATGATCTCTCTCTGTAACATGGGTCCTCAAACTACGGCCCACGGGCCGGATGCGGCCTGCCATGCCCATTCATCCGGCCCGCCTCAGAGGTTTTGGACTCAGCAGTGGCTTGCTTGTGTGGAGATCATTTTGGACTCACTTGGAGGAAACAATCTCCGTGCAAGCAGGCTGCTGCCTCGCCGTGCGGCATGCCCCCCCCCCCCCCCGCCGGCACTGCCTTCGCGGCCCACGCCCACCGCCAGCACCTTTCAACTGGCCCCCCATTGAAAAAGTTTGAGGACCCCTGGTCTGTAAGTACCTCAAAGGCTGCCACAAAGAGGAAGATCAAAATCTCTTCTTACTAATGCCAGACTGTAGGACACGGAATAATCAATTCAAGCTGCAGCAAGCCAGATTCAGGCAGGACAGCAGGAAAAGCTTCCTCACTGTCAGAGCAACACGACCGTGGAAGCAGCTGCCTGGAGAGGTGGGGGATCTCCACACTGGAGCCATTCACAAAGAAGCTGGACAGCCACCTGAGCGGGATGGTGTAACGTGGTGTCCTGCAACAGCAGGGGGACAGACTGGATGGCCTTCATGGCCCCTCCCAGCTCTACTCTTCTATGATTCAGCTTCAGCACTGGGGGTGGTGGCCTGATGGAAACATGATCAGAGTCCCTTGGACCACAAGGCGATCAAACCAGTCAGTCCTAGACATCAACCCTGACTGCTCTTTAGAAGGCCAGATGCTGAAGATGAAGCTCAAATGCTTTGGCCACCTAATGAGAAGGAAGGACTCCCTGGAGAAGACCCTGATGCTGGGAACGATTGACGGCAAAAGGAGAAGGGGGCGGCAGAGGATGAGGAGGCTGGATGGGGTCACTGGGGTGGCAGGTGTGCGGTTGGATGGACTCCAGGGGATGGTGGAGGACAGGAGAGCCTGGAGGGATGTTGTCTATGGGGTCAGGCACGATGATGACTAAACAACAAAAACTTATGTTCTGCATTGTTAGTCCAAGGGCTCTCTAAGTGATTACTATAAAAATAGAATTCAAATACAATAATACAATAAAAATATATTAAAACAAGATTCAACAAGATTCAGGGCCAATAATGGAAGGATTTCTTCACACACTGCATACACCTGAAATTCACTTCCACAAGGTGTAGGGATGGCCACTAGTTCAGATGGCTTTGAAAGGGGCCTAGCCAAATTGATGGAGAAGGCTCTCCAGGCTACTAGTCCTCATGACTTGCTATTGGAGGGTGCAAATGTACACCATTTTCTGGTTATCATGGACAGGAGGGAGCAGTTCCATGCATGCCCTGTTGTGGGTCCCACTGGCCCACAGAAAGCTAGACGGACCCTTGCTTTGATACAGCTAGGGTCTTCCACAGTTCTTAGGATTCCAGCTGGCCCGACAGGTTTAGGGTCCAACTTCTTACCAGCAGCCCACTTTGCCTACAGTTCCACTTCTTGCTGCACCTAGCAAAACAGGCAGAAATGCAACAGATGCAGCTGCACCTTGCAACTCTGGTTTGGAACAGCAGGTTTAAAACGTGCTGAAAGGCATTTTAAAAAGTGCATTTCTCTGTGTACTGCTTTTCTGGAACCGATGAGGCTGTTTTGCAAAAATTCAGGGAAAAAAGCCAATAATACATGACAAACAGTAAAATTGAAAAACCCCAAATTATTATTTTATTTATTGCAATCCTGTACCGCACCATAGTCCGAAGGCTCTCTGGGCGGCTTGCAAATTAGCAAATAAAAAGGGATGCTCGTTTGCTAAATGCAACTTTCTCTCCAGCACATCCTTTCCTCCCTCCGTTCTTAAATCTTCCTTTTCCCCTTATAGCAGCCCTCTAATTTTGATGTAATTCGCCGTAAGTCACATCCGAAGGTCCCTCGCCTGAGAGACGCAACCCCTCCTTCCAGAATTTAAATCAGGACGGGGAGGAGCCTGCCCGGTCTTCTAATGAGGAGCATGCGCATAAGACGTCCTTGTCTCCACTTCCTTTCCCTTAGCTAAGATGGCGGCACATCTTTGTCTGTCAATCTCGACTCGCCTTTACACGAAGGAAAGAACCGCCCCAAGCTTCTTCTAGGAGCATGCGCACTTACTGATGGGTCTTTCCGCCAGCTGAGCTGGGCCCCGCCCCCTTTGAGGCGCATGCGTTCAAGTCCTCAAAACTGCCCTTCCCCGAGATGGCAACATCCAATGCTTTCGCGGCGGACGCCGGGCAAGACGCATGCGCCGTTCCTCCTGGCGCGGCCGTTCCTTGCCCAAAATCGCGATGGTGGCAGCCTGAGGGGAGAGAAGCCCTCCGCTGAGGCGAGGCGGCGGCTGAGGCGCTGCACGGCCTGCCTTTCGCTCCCCTGCTTCCTCATGCCTCGCCGGAATGCTCCGCTCGAGCGGCTTCTTTCGTGGCGTCGACTGCCCCTTCGGGCCGGCCTGCGGGAGGCCCTACTGCCACTTCCGACACCCGCTCGGGGCCCAGCTGGCCTTCGAGCTCTCCGTGCCTCGGTGCCTCCCCGTCTGGCCCGGCCCCGCAAGACGCCCAGCTGCGGCAGCAGGTAACTGGGTCGAGGGAGGCGGCGGCTCCCGCTTCGCCCGAGTCACTCTGCCCATGCTCAGATGCAGTCGCTGGGGTGGGTGCCTGAGGCGACCATTGGAGGGGGCCTCCGCCTTGCCTCGCCCGCCTCTCCTGAGGACGCTCTGCACAGGCGCAGAGGCTCCCCTGGTCTCATCCGAACGGGGGAAAGAGGAGGAGGCCCCCTCCAATTCTCTCTTTCTCGGAGCAGGCCTCGCCTGGGCTAAAAGGAATCTGCAAATGTTCACAGTTGGCCCAAAGCGGGGTTGGGGGGAAAGAATTTAAGAAAGCTGGTGCTCCCCACCCCCTCCTGTGGCAGGGGAAGGTGGAGGGCGCGTTTGTCATTGGGAAGAAGCTGTTTTTATTTGCGGCCGTGGAAGGGAAGTGGCCCCTTTCCTTCTGGAGACTCATTTCTCTTATCTATAATACAATGTATAACAGGAGCCTGGCACTAATTGGGGGGGGGGGAATGGTTGTGGGTTTTCTCTCCTGGGCCCCCTCACACTGCCTCTGTAGGAAAGAACAGGATGGAAATGAACTCTGTATATACTCATTGGCTGTAGTAACAGTTCCTCCCTCTGTGTGTAAGGAAGTTTTCTGAGTTGCTTTGCAACTTAGGTGGGTTGCTCCTAGAATGCCTTCATTGCCTTTCAGCAGCTTTGCTTGTCTTTTGTACATGTAAGTGAACTAACTGGCATTTTTTGTTAAATAGTTACCATTTTGTGGGAAGGGGCTTGATTTAAGGGACCTTCTAACACATAATGTGATGGCAGCAGACAGAGGTGACTCTAAACAGTAGGCTAAACAGAACCTCCAGTTCCAGGGACAAGCTACCTGTATTCTCCAGTGGTTGAGGAAGAATATCAGCACAGCATGCCTGTGACCCTGCTAAGGACCCACACCCAGCATTGGCCGGATCCTCCTGGATGTGCTCTGCTTCACCCTTGCAGTCTGCTTCTTTGTCTTCCTGTCACTCTAGACCTGAAAAGGAGAAGCAGTTAATGCTGCATTCTACCCGTTGAGTGAGAAAAATCATGTGGTAGCTGTAATGAGGAATACTAGCTGCTTGTGGCAACAGTGGTGGGAAGGGAGACTGCCTGCTGGAGGGGGCATAAGGGTGTCTTGCCCAGGTGCCCTCCAAAACCTGGTGCCCAGGCCCTGATGAAAGGTGGGGGAAGAGTTGCTGTATTCATATTTATTTATTTTAAACTTTTGTATGCTGTCCCTTATACATGGCATCTCGGGACAGCTTTCAATCATTAAAACAACCACAATAAAACAGCAATGAATAAGAGTTAACCAAAAAATACAAATTAAATAAGTTAAATAAAAGTGACTGTTAAGCATTAAAATTTAAATTAGTTTTTAAAATGCAGTTAAATAAAAAGGCTTTAACCTGGTGCTGAAAAGAATGAAAACCTCTGGGGAGCGCATTCCAACCACCAGCCCTTGTGTTATCATATTCTTCCGTTTGGTTCAAGAGTGCAGTCTGAATGTCTTGGAGATGTGTGTGGACGTATCCTTTGCATGTATACCTTGTGTGCAGTTGGTATGATGTGAGATCAGTAACACTGCCACCCCACATAAGCAGCCTTGGAGATCCCTCCGATTGTATATCAGCGCAGCTGCCAAACTGTGCCTGAGGCATTGCTTGTACCAGCATCTTTGGCCACAAGTGTGTTGGTGCAAAAGCTCCCTTTCCCACCCCGCCAGAAGGTAGTGCAAGGGATTTTTTAAAAGCTCTCTTTATTGAAAGTTTTCAGGATGGTTTCCAGAGCACATAATGTTTTGGGGTTACATGTTGTCTCCAGTTTAGGGCAGCCCTATGCACAAGTACCTGCCAAGGCATCCAGTCCTGGACCTGCAACCCAAGGCTGCAGCTTCCTTTTTGAAATCAACCCACCTCACAGTTGGTCTTCCCCCTTTTCTGCCTTCAACATTCCCAGGTGTTGATTGTCTTCTCCAGGGACTCTTTCCTTCTCAGGATGTGCCCAATGTAGGAGTGACTCAGTTTCCTCATTTTTGCTTCCAGAGCAAGTTGCAGAATGATTGAGTCTAGAACCCACTTATTCATTTTTCGGTCCAGATATTATAATAGTGAAAGCAAAATATCGAAGGCCTGATCACAAAAGGAATCATGCAGTATTCTGGCACTGCACATTGTCCTACTGACATTGACAATTAATTTGAGGCTGGCTGGATCACAGGAGGTAGTGAGGCTTTCTTCACTAATGCACAGCGTGTGCAACGCTCGGTCATAACCTGATCTTTAGATGCCAACTTGTTTTGATGTTTGAGGTTAAGGTCTTTTGAGGAGTAGGGAGGAGTTATTCACTTGCTTTTCACTTGGAGCGTATGCTGCAATGTTAATCTCAGTTGAGACACTTTCAAATGCCTCTCTAAAATATTTTCTTTTTTCCCCTCTTCTGAGAACCAAAATAGACCCAGAAAATTAACAGGTGAAGCTTTTGGCTTCTATTTATCCATGCTGCTTTACAGTAGAGCATCCAACCACCCACCTACTGGAAAAATACTAGCTTTCTTTCAAGGCAGTGTCTCTTTAAGAGACCTGGATGTATAAAGGTGGGACTATGACTGGTTTCCTGCCTCCTCTTCTCTAACGCTGAGTTATCAGATCTGCCCAAGGCTGGCAGTCATGGCTGGGTATTGTGACATCCTTGGATACTTGAGTGGCTGGAGTCTGTGCAGGAGATAATAAAAAAGGGCTCTGGTCTGAAGGCATGAACAAGTACATCTGTTGCTTGTTAACGAAGAACAGTCCAGGTAAAAGCAAAACACATCATGGTTGCTTCTGTCCTTTTTAAAAAGTTGCTGCATGTATGTGTGTGACAGAGAAGAAAGAGAGAGGTTTGGGAGAAGAAAAAGGCTTGTGGCAGGCAGCAGTCATCCCCCTCCCAGCTTCCTGGGTCCCCCAAGGAGGGTAAATCTTGCTTGCAGGCTGTTTGCCTTCATTTTCACTTTTCAAGGAATACTTTGCAAATATTAGCAAAGTTTCCCCACTTGCACATGTAAAAATCACTTGTAAATAAACCCTGCTGTTTTTGTCAAGATTTTAACACCAGAGTTTGTGGCCTTTGTTAAGGCACCTGATTTTAATGTATTTAAAAATTGTATTGGGCATAATAATACCATTTGCACGGTAGTTAGAGTGACACAGGAAGGGGATCTGAATTCTGTAGTGGTTCTCTCACTGAATGTTGGTGGGGTCTTGCAAACTCTCACGGCATCATAGAATAGCAGAGTTGGAAGGGGGCATGAGGGCCATCATGTCCAACCCCCTGCTGTTGCAGGACACCAATTCACACCATCCCACTCTGATGGCTGTCCAGCTTCTTTCTGAATGTCTCCAGTGTGGGAGAGCCTCCCACCTCTCCAGGCAGCTGGTCCCACTGTCCTATTGCATAGTTTCCCCTTCAACTTAGATCCCCTGGAGGAGTATTTTTTGTTTTTGATTTTACAGTACTTGGTGCTTCACATTTCCTAATTTCAGCTGTGATATTGACATAAGTATTAAATAAGTATTAAATGTACACTTATGTACAAAGTGTGTTAAATGCACATTTTCAGAAATTAACTTTAATTAACTTTAATCGGGGCTTAGCTGACTACAGTCTTTCTTTTCCAGAAACTACAAATTAAAACAATTTGGTGAGGTAAAACAGGACAGGAAAAAGGCATTTTATTATAGGGCTATACACAGGGAATGAAGAAGTGCTGGTTGAATGAGAAGTGACATGCTTTTTAGTAAGTCCTCTTTTGAGGTTTATAATGGCCAAAGTATATCAAAAGTTTAAAAAATGAATTTCCAAAACATGATTACTATATGCTCCTAGAAATATAACACAGGTAATATGCCCTTGAAAAATACAACAATAAAAGCCAGCTCTCTTGTTCATCAGGAAAGATGGATGCCTGCTCTATTTCACTTCAGAAATTTCACTTCAGCCCTCCTCTCTTACCTGTTATTGAGGCATGGCAAGAAGGAAATTTTCATTCATGGCACCCAGAATTTGAAATGTCCTTCCCATTGTGGCTTGCCTTTGGCCAAGCGTTGCCGCAAGGAAAAGATGTTGCTATGGTGTTTTAATCTGCTCCTGTCATCTGTTGGTTGGCTCTCTTCCACCCACATGCACATATCATTTTGGGGCAGGATTAGAGTTAGGAACATACAGCTCCATGGCGTTCGCTGTGTGTTGCATTAACTTCTGCTGTGAGCTGCTTGCAATGTATTCATATAGAAAGGGGAGTTAGGGAATTAATAAACGATCATAGCAGAATGGTTGTAGTGTCCCTGCAGGATCGAAAACAGATGAGTTCCTTCTTTCGTTAGAAAGCAGTCTTTATTTTTCTTAAATGCGTCACTAAAATAACCCAGTGAGTAGGAGAAGAATTCTGAGCTTGTGAAAGTCATGCTCTGCTAAATATGGGCCTTAAGCTTTGAACTGCAGGTGTTCAGGAACCTTCCTTCTTCTTTCAATGCTGATTTTGAAGGAGTGAAACTCTTAGGGGGTTTCTAAAGTCGTTTTTGAACTGAGTTTTCAGTAACTACTTGTGAGCAGCTACAGATTGGGAGGATCAAAAAGGTGGGGAGGCCGCCTTTAACACCTCATTCAGAGGAGGGAGTGCCTCTAAGATGCGGTGTATCAGATATCTGTTCCTCTCAAAAACGTGAGGGTGGAGGAGATGAGGTCAAATTATCCTTTGACAGAAAGTAAATTATTGCATAGGGTACTTTATGAAGCCCTTTTCTTTGTTGATGGTCTAGGTGGTCTTATCTCTGTTCTTCAGACAGATGAAAAGTGACAGACTGAAGAAGCTGATAAAAAGAGAAAGATGGCCTTCTTAGATAATATATCTTTTTTAGTATTGTTGTGGATAGCTAAGATCCCTCTTTGACCTGCTACTTCCAAGGGAGTTGAATTGAGGGTGAACTTGGGCTGAACCAATCTGTTCTTTTCTCAGACATGCAGTTATCGATACAGGCCTGCCATCAGGAAAATATTCAGCAGCTAGCAATAATAGCTGCTGAAGGGCTAGTGGGGGTACAGGTGTAACTGTAAGGGTAATTTCTACCTCTGTTCACAACCTTTTAAGAAATCTTTGCTCCTTTCCTTAGTATGATAGGAAGCTATTTGCTGGACAAATGCATAGGCCTGATAGGGTTGGAATAGGACAGGCACAGGGAACTGGGTTGGGGTAGGGACTGATTGCCCCTCCAGGCCTCTTGCAGGACCAGATCACCCTTTCAGACCCTCCGTGGGCCGGATCTTCAGCTGCACCCACCAGCATCTCTCTGTGTGTTTTGCCTGATTTGGACAGCACCAAAAGGAGCAGCCCAGCGTGGTGTCTCAGGCTTGGTGAAGCACTTGGTTTCCTCATGAGGAGCAGTCCCCCAGTGTCCACCCCCTGTGGTTAGCCTTGAGCTCAGATCAAAGATATCAGCAGGGATCCCTTCACGGCGAGGGGCCCAACAAACCCAAGGAGGCTCTGTGGGCTGGATGCCACTGTGCCCCAGGCTGGCTTAGGCCAGTGAAAAATGAAGGTTCCATGTCCCAGGTATATGGACTACGGACCAGAACTGCTCCCTAAAGCTGGGAAGATGGTGGTGGAGTTAGCCACAGTGCGACTTCTCTGTACATTAAAAAAAAAACTTTTATAGACTTATGTATAATGCAGTAGCATTAACATCAAACATAATATAATAGAAGCAAAAAGCTCATGTTTCCACATTTCTGTCATATCCATTAAGCCACCATTAAGCTTTGTCCTTATTCACCTCCATCGTTTGCTTGTGAAAGGAGTGGGGGGGGGTGCTTCTTTGGTTCTGGCCAGTCTGCTGGTAAATACTCTGATTTAAAGCAACTGTTACCTGTCCTTGCCTCAGATTGGCTGCCCTTTGCCCATTAGGCCATGTGTTCCATATAGGCTGACCCAAGTGGGGCTGACCTAGAAATAAGAACAGGGGGCACAAGATGGGTGCCCATTGCTTTGTCTGTGGATTCCAAATGTAAAAGCAGTTTTAAAAAGGGACTATCTGTAGATGCTAAAATAGATCTCTTGAAAAGGAGAATTTACCATTTGTGCATTGGGAAAACTCTGACGGGATTTAACAACTATTGAGCAGCCCCATAATAGTGCTCATTTGAGCTGCTTGGTGGCTTATAAATGCAAAAATGAATGAATAAAGCTTGAAATTAGGAGCTTTCCTCTGTGGATTTGTCCAAATCCTTGTCTAAAGCTACTGAAACCTCTGATGATCAGCACACCAGGCAATAGCAGTTCCATGCACCCCTTCTGGATTGTGTGAGGAAAGCGATCTTGCACTTCTCACATGCTCTTGTGTTCTATGAGAGGCAGGAAAACATTTGTCCATGCTGTGCATAATTTTAGACATCTTGATCATACACCCCGATTCCTGTCTCCTATCTTGTTGCTGTTGTTGCTAGTTGTGAAGTCGTGTCCGACCCATCACGACCCCATGGACAACATTCCTCCAGGACTTCCTGTCCTCCACCATCCCCTGGAGTCCATCTAAGCTCACGCCGACTGCTTCAGTGACCCCATCCAGCCACCTCATTCTCTGCCACCCCTTCTTCGTTTGCCCTCAATTGTTCCCAGCATCAGGCTCTTCTCCAGGGAGTCCTTCCTTCTCATTAGGTGGCCAAAGTCTTTGAGCTTCATCTTCAGTACCTGGCCTTCTAAAGAGCAGTCAGGGTTGATCTCTAGGACTGACCAGTTTGATCACCTTGCTGTCCAAGGGACTCGCAGGAGTCTCCTCCAGCACCACAATCCAAAGGCCTCAATCCTTCGGCGCTCAGCCTTCCTTATGGTCCAGTTCTCACAGCCATGCATTGAAATTGGGAAAACTGTAGACGTGACTGCACACTTTTGTTGGCAGGGTGATGTCTCTGCTTTTTAGTATGCTGTCTAGATTTGCCACAGCTTTCCTCCCCAGGAGCAAGTGTCTTTTAACTTCTTGGCTGCAGTCCCCATCTGCGGTGATCTTGGAGCCCAGGAAAATAAAATCTGTCACTACCTCCATTTTTTCCCCATCTATTTGCCAGAAAGGGATGGGACTGGATGCCATGATCTTAGTTTTCTTTTATGTTGAGTTTCATGCCAACTTTTGCATTCTCCTCCTTCACCCAAATGTCCCTAAAAACTTGGGCCTGAACTCAAAATGACTTCTGTGTCTCTCCTGTATTGGCTTTTGACTGGCCTCCTGGTTCTTATCATTGGTTGCCAAATTTCCTTCCCTTTCCTTCCAGTAACTCTCTGAGCCACAAGGGCTTGCTTGGTTCAGTGAGGGGGTGTGTGTGTGTGGTGGGGGAGGGTCAGGTCTTTTCCTCTCTCATTATGGTTGAAAAAAACCACACGGTCATTTCTCCACAGTGAGTGGTCTGTTGCTTTGATAGCTTTCCAGAGCCCTGCAGCTTCAAACCATTAGCTAGGATTCTTCCTTCTCTCATGAGATTCTCCCATGCATAAAGTCTTCGTCACTTTGAGCCCAGGGGATACAGTGGACAGTGTAACTTTGGAATGTGAAGCTCTACCTTCCAGTCCCCACCACACTGTGAGCTCCTGTAATAATCTTGGGGGTATTCCCTGCCTTATGTAAACCTGCTAACCTCACCCAGTTGTTGTGACAACCTCGACAGATAACCCCACATCCATTTGCGATATTGTGAACTTCTTGGCCGTTCGCCTAAGATCGAGTGCATTGCTATGACCTTCTTGATGAAAGTTGCCATAACTCTCCAATGCCTAAAGTTGAGCATCCCTGTTTTATTTCATTACTTGCCTTTCTCTCAAAGCTCTTAAGAAGGTTCATGGTTTAAAATAAATTAGGAAGCTTCCGTATACGGAATCAGATCCTTGGTCTATCAAGTGTGGTATTGTATATTCCGATTTGCATGTCTCTGCTCACCATCTCACCTCTTTTCCTGCTGCATCCTGGTAGGTGGTTATACACCGGGATTTGGTGAGAATTCAAAGAGCAGCATTGATCCTGATCTTCTGTTTCTTTTCCTTCCAAGGGTCCGGCTATGACCCCTACAACCCGGAACTTCCCAAGCCCCCCGTGCAGAGTAGCAATGGCACCTTGGGGGACATTTCCAAGTCGGCCGCCAGCATTCTGGAGATGGAATTGGTGGACAAGGCCATCGAGGTAGCTAAGAACGAATACGAACTTGAGCAGAAAAAATATGAAGAGCTCTTGGAGACCAGCAAGGCTCCTTTGCTCACTGCCACGGCTGCTGAGTTGGTGGTACCGGACTCATTTCCTTCCCAGGAATATACCGTAGGCAGCTACGGGGCTGGAGGCAGTGCCGATTACAACCCTACCCCTCTCGCTGCACCTTCGTCCAGCCAGCCCAGCAAGTATACCTTGGATTCTTCCAGTGGTGCGAAATCCAAGGGCAGCTCGCTGGAGTATGTTCCCACCATGGTCACCCAGCCGAGGAAGTACGGCTCTCCTGTCACAAATAGCAAGTACATCATCGACAACTCCAAGCCTTCGACTGACTTGGAGTATGACCCTCTTTCCAATTACTCTGCCAGGCTGCTGAGCAAAGTGAAGGAAGAGAAGAGTGCAAAGCGGAAGAGAACAGCGGATTCTGAGGTGAGCTCTCTTTTGCTGAAGAAGCACTGCGATGAAGCTAGCATGTTTGAATTGCCAGCCAAGTTCTCTGACTCAGAGGAGGAATGTGAGCCGGCATCAAGCACCCCTTTGAAATCCCAAGGTAGTTTGGAAAGCAAAGGGAGTGGTGGGTCAGCGGCCAAAGAAAAGGGGACCCAGCAGGTGGATGCCAGTTCTCGGCAGATGAGAGAGACTGCTGTGCAGTATGATATGGGAGACATAGAAAATCCCCAAGGAGCTGCTGCCCAGGACATGCTGGAAAAGGATGCCAAGGTCTCCAAAGAATCTTCCGGAAGGCAGGGAAAAGGCGGAGGAGCCCCCAAGGGCAAGCCGAAAAAGAAGAAAGGTGATGGCCATCAGTTGGAGCAGAAGAAAGACCAAAGCAGAACTGTAGGCAAAGAGAAGATTGAATCCAAGGGGCAACGCAAAAACGGGGAGAGGGGCAAGGGCAGGCATGGCAGGTCCCATGTGGATGGACAGCAGAAGAACCCAGAGAAGCCGAGATCTATGATAGGATCTGGGAGTAAGGAAGAGAGTGCAGGCAAAGACAAAACTTGTGCCAAGGGATCTGGCATGGAGAAAGCAGGGTCTAGCAAGAAGGATGGTAAGCTGAAGCCTCTTGACCTGAAAAAGAAGACGTGGGCTCCTAGGGCTGAGCCTAAAGACAGAAAGGGCAAGCCCCTGGCCTCAGAGAGGCCGAAGGACACATTGGCCAGCTCCCTGACCAAGGGGAAATCGAAGGCCAAGTGCCAGGCTAAACAGCGGGCACCAAGTCACGCCGACCTCTTTGGCGACGAGAGTGGGGACGAGGGGCAGGCATCGCAGGCATCTCCTGCCTCCTTCCCCAATGTGAGTTCAGACTCAGACGGAGACGGCGGGTCTTCGTCTCAGGACAGAAGAGTGAAGAATGTCAGGCAGCCTAAGCCCCCCAAGGCTCCCTCCTCAAGGTCCTCGTCTTCCGGGGAGGTAGATTATTCCCTTCTGGAGAAGGATCTGGACTTTGAATCCGACCCCATGGAGGAGTGTCTCCGGATTTTCAATGAGTCCACTGATATCAAGATGGAAGACAAAGGCAGGCTGGGGAAACAGGTAAGGGCAAGCAAGATTGGAATGGCCAGAACTGGCAGCGTGATCTTGCTCCTATGATAACCTAGAAGTGGGCCCCTTGAATTCAGTGGGGCTTATTGCCAGTGAGGATGGATAAGGCTATGCCCTTACTAGTTCTTTGAGTGTGGCAAGTGGGCTCATCTGCATTTGCACAACCCCTTTTTGAGCTTAAAGAGAAGCAATAAACAAAGGGATACTAATGGAGGGCATGTCGTGAGTGGAGCCGGCTGGAGCCGGGGGTCAGACTAGATGGCCCGGGAGGACCCTTCTGACTCTCTCTGTTTCTATGAATGTGCTGTAAAAGGAGAATTGGCGGGGTGGGATTCAAATTGAGTGGGGATTCAGTTCAGTTTGACCTGGCTGGAGTACTTGCCTGTTCTCACTGTAGCAACAAGATAGCTGAATATCACCATGAAAGGGGAGGAAAAGGTTCCAGGAAGGAAGAGTTGCAAAGCAGCCTTGGGCCAGCCAGGCAGACCTTGCAAAATTGTGTGAGCATGTTCCTAACGGAGCTCGGAATCTGTGGTGCACTCCAAGGATTGCATTTCTTGGGGTCAAATTCAGAGGCATTGTTGTTTGCTGGAATGAGAGGTGACGGTGAAACCAGGGACAACAACCCAACTCTTGGTAGTCCAGACTTGCAAACATTCAGTGCTCATCTCCCCACCCCTCCAACGGTAGATGTTTTATTTAAAAATTATTCCTGTGCAAAAGTTTGATAGCTTGAGTTGTGTCAAGCCCCAAAATTCCCTTTGCCCCAGCGAAACACTGCATCTGATTATCCATGCAATTGCGGCTACAAGTTGAGTTGTCAGATTCAGACGTCACTGATAAACGGCTGTCCTTGCAGGCAGATAGTGGCAAGGCAACTAGTTTGGGACCGGCTGCAGAATGCCCCTTTCCCCCTCAAGGTTGGCCGCCTACAGCAGGGCTGTCTTTTCTTACTGACCACGTCTAAGCCACTGGCAGGGACCTTTTTGGCTTGAGGTGCAGCAAACGCCTTTCCCCCAACATGGTCAGCGCGGCTATTTCCTCCTGTTTCAAAGAAGTTTCTCCTTTTTTTTGCAGTTCCTTTAACTTGGATTAAAGCATCCATTTAAAAAGTTGGAGGGAAAGCCAGGAAGGTCAATATCAGCACTGTCTTTGCAAATGCTCTCCTCTCTTTCTCCCACTTAGCCATCAAAAGAAGGGCTTGAGGAAAAAGTAACGGAGGAAAGCTTAACCACACTCTTCCCTGGCCAGAGAAGGAGGATCTCTCACATAGCCAAGCAAGGAAATGTAAGTGTGCTCTGAAGCAGCACCAAGTGGGTGTGTAGGTGGAACAGGTCGTTGTGTGTCCTTTCTGCAGCCGTGCTGCTCTGGGCCTTGGCAGACCCATAGGTCCAGCCCAGAGGGGTGTAATGTATTTGCTGAAAAAGGCCTGGCGTGCAAGCATAAGAGTTGACGGTTCTAGAGGTCATGGTGCACACTCACCGTGTGGGCCTTGCTCCAGCCTTGCCGGAAAGCCCTCCGCATGCATTGCTCCGATGTCGGGGCTGTGTTTCGTCCTGACCCCTGAGGGCACAGCTCCGTTCAGCCTTTTGCTTATTAAGGCGTAACCTGCACAGTGGGGAGCCCCTCTCTCTGCTCAGGGGGGCTCCCTGTGCAATTGGGAACCTTGATCACCCCAGGTTTTCATTTGGGGGGTGGGGGGAGGGGACCCAGGAAAGTTTCTTCTCTTTCCGTGGTTCTCACTCTCAGAAAGCCATGCTTTAGATATTGCATGGACTTGGTTCTATTTTTAGTTTAAATTACTTTCTTGAAGTACTCTTATTGTAATAACTTTATGTTCTGTCCTCGGCTTTGAGTACTTCGCTAAATGAGAAGAGCAGAATCCTGCAATTACACTGAAAGAGCTAAATAGCCCCAATTTTATTGTTGTGATTTCTGAAGACAAGCTCTTCTGTCTGCGCAGGAACAGATCTACATCAGGATAACTACCAACAATCATTAAGTACTTCTAGTGCTTCTACATATTAATCAGCGTTGTTGGCACGTGACTGCTGGTATTTGGCCTGCAGTCAGCACATCAGATGTTCCGTGCTGTCCCTGTTGGTCCATTAAATGTTGCCCCGTGACCAAAGAGATAAGAACTCAGGTGAAATGGGTTGGAAATACCCCAAACTCAAATATTTGCAGGTTCTTAGTAAATGTTATGCCACTGTTCCGAAATCCCTTTGCAAAAGTGTGTGGATTTCAGGGGAGCAGAGCAATGTTTTTCATGCCCTGCTGCAAAATGAGAGCAGTGCAGAAGCTTCTTCCCGTTCCCATCCGCACCCCCGGTTTGTGGATTCTGGTAGCGTGTTCTCCTATAGCGTCTCTGCAGTCCTCACACACAGGCTAGGAGGTGTGAAGTGCTGAAGCTGCAAGGGGAGGCACATATCCTCCAAAAGCTCTTTGTGCTCCATCTGTCTCTGGCCCTTCACAGAGCTGGGTTAAAACATGCTCATAATCCAGGATGCTCACCAGGGCATCAGGTGCAGGCAGTCTGTCTGTGCAAAGTGTCGTGTTCCTCCTTCCGCAGGCCGAAATCCAAGGCAAGGCAGTTGTCCGTCCCTACCGGCCCCCGACGGCCCAGGAGGTGTGCTACCAGAGGATCCAGCTGGCCCAGCAGCAGGCAGCGCAGCTGGCCCAGCAGCAGCAGCAGCAGCCTTCCACACCAGCACAGTCCCCGAAGACCCTCCAGAAAGGCTGCTTTGCAATCCACAGAGGAGGAAAGAAACGGATTGCTCACGTGCCCAGCGCAGCCCTTCCTTCCCTCTCGAAGTGCGGTAAGGGTCCTGCTGGTCCTTCATTCTTGCAGAGCACCCTTTCCCGTGCGCACGCTGGCTTCTGCCCGTTTAGTCCAGGGGTGGGAGCCTGACGGGTGCACGGCCGCCTCTTTCGGCCTCCTGGTCTCTGCCCTGGCCCAGCCCTCCTCCCAAGTAGCTTGACACACTTGTGGTGACCAGGCACCGTTACCACAAACCGTAGTGTCACTGAAGGTTGCAATTGCCTGGTTCCAGCGTACAAACTCGAGCTGTTTGCAGCCCGTGCTATGAATCAGCATTCCTGCTCCACAATATAAGCCTATTTCCTGCACTTCTGTGGTCTTTGACTTTTGAAGGGAAGTTAAAAACAATCTTACATTTGCATATGGCCTGAACCTCCCCCCAGAGCTTTGAAAAAAGAGGGAGGGGTCCCAGATTTGAGAGGTGTAGCCCTGGGGAAAACGGGACTTGTGTGGCCCATGATCTCCTCCAGCCAAACCTGCAGAAGCAGCACACCCCTCCTCCAATTCCCTCCATAAACTGCTCTCTTTGCCTTGCGGCTGAAACTGAGGCAGTAATGGTCCAGGTGGGCATCACCTTTATCCCATGAGCTGGAGGGAGGCCTCCAAAGCAGACAGGCAAACCTTCTGCAAAGACTTGCTGAGGGAACTCCTCCGCTCTGAGCCAGTTCCCTCTCCAGCCAGAAGGGGGCTTCACATCCCTGCTGCTCAGAGGAGTATCGTGTGCGCTGCCTCGGGTTTCCTGCAAGAGGAAAAGGACAGTGTGACTCTAATAATAACAGCAACGTAGATTTGGGGTCTTTTCTTCGGGCCCGCAAGGCTGCCTTGATTCGTTCCTCCATAATTTCAGGCAGTTTACTAGTGAATACCCGAGGCTTGAGTAGGAAAAATGTGCATGGCTTCCCACTGTGCTTTTCACCAAGGTTCCTGCAGGAATCCAGGGGGCTGAGGGTGGCTTGGTTGTTGGATGGGGCCTTCCAGCCCAAAGGTGGGCCACACCTTTTTTTAAAGGGTTGCAGGTCAACCAGGTGGGGTGCAGAGGAGGGCCGTGAAGAGGGGGAGCAGAATGGAATACCTGTCCTCTGAGGAAAGGCTGAAGACACTGGGGACATTTAGCCCATAGAAGGAAGGCCTGAAAGGGCAGGCACACCGAGAGGGAAAGAGACTCGCTCTCCGCGACTGCCCAGAAAGCAGAATAGAGGGAAAGGGCTTCCCTGACCAGAAGCGGGATCTTACTTGAGCAAGGAGAGAAATGGGGTACCAAGAGTCCTCGAACAATGGGTCCAGTGCCTTGGAGGAATGAGCAGCGGGGGCAGCCCCTTGATGGGAGGCTTCTGGGGACGCTGGGAATTGCACTGGGGAGGGCAGCTTGTAGCTCACGTTAGCCTCTGCTGGCTCAGGCTGATGGAAGCTGTGGGCCAAAACACTGGGAGAGGCACCTGTTGCCTGCACCTGTCTGGATGCACCTGTCGGCAGCTCCAGGGCTGCAGCACGTTTGATTTTGCACAGCCTGCTTTCTGCTTTTTTCCCGAATCCTTCTAGTCTGTCAAAAGTTAGATGTGCAAACTCAGAACTTTTTGTTAGGCTTGCAAACTCCCTCCTCCTAATAAGCATTTCAAGGGCCACTCACAATGCAAACGTAAACCAGGATTTTAAAAAACCATGTAAATGCAGCGAAAGAGAACAAAATCACAAGTGGCGAGTACGTGGGCGGCAAGGCCAGGGAGCCCTAAGCCCTGAGATGCAGCTCATCTGTCCCAAGGGATGATGGATCTTGCTGCCTCATCGCCCGGGTGCCAAAAAGGGGCCAGGACAGCCTTCCTTTCCCTCCCGTGGCTCGGACAGCTTGTTTTTCCCATGTGTCCTTCCAGCTGCCGGAGACCCTCTGCAGGCCTTTCTGCCCAGGAACCCGGGGTCTGTCAACAGTGCCGACTGTCTGCCTTTGAAAGCGCGTACACTCACTGGAATGGCGTCCAAGACGACGACAACAGATGTCCCCAAAAGGATAGCTCACGCTCCCACGCTGCAGGTTAGCTCACACATCCTGGAATCGCTGTGCAATGCAGCAGGGGTGGCTGGAAGGTTTCAATAGATCAACAAGGAGGCTGGTCTGCCACTTGTATGACAATACCAGCAGCAAAACAACTCCCCTCCTGCCGCCAGATGGCTTGTTCTTCCGTGCCATCAACTTACGATGACCCTATAAAGGAAGGCCCTGCAGAACATCCTTTCCTGGGGTGCCCCACTCAGCTCTTGACAACTCCAGGCTGTGGCTTCCTTGATGGAAAGGATCCATCTCCTGTTTGGCCTCTTTCTCCTCCTCCTGCCTCCTATTTTCCTTAACGCTGCTTTCCTGCTGGAGTGAAGAAAGTTTGGGGTAACCAGCCTGGAATTTTGTGTGGAAGGATGCTGGGCTTCATTCAGTCCTGGTGGTACTCAAATTCAAGGACACAAAATTCTTTAATTCTGAATTTTGTGCGAGGTTCCACTTGGTGGACCTTGGGGTTCTCAGAAAAAACAAAGCAGAACTTGCATGACTGTCTGTCGCGGCAATAGAATGCTTATGCAGGAGATCTGGTGTATGTAGGAGAGCAGCCTGTGAAAAACAGCCGGCTTGGGAGTGACTGAATTTCTCAGGCAGCTTGTGGTCCCTTTTCTCCCTCCTTCTAGAGCACCACCTTAAAAAGACCAGTTATCCCCACGGAGTACGGTGCCAGGGTCCCCACCAACATCCGCCAGAGGTACCTCAATCTCTTCATTGACGAGTGCCTGAAGATGAACCTCTCACATCAGGAAGCTTTTGACAAGGTGTGTGCCTTGGTGGTGGGGAAATGGGCCCAGATCCATGTGGACACAGGTAGGTTATGTTTGTATGTATGTATGTATGTATGTATGTATGTATGTATGTATGGTTTTTGTGTGCTGTCCCAATTTCTAAAAAAGTCCCTGAGAGGCTTAGTGCAGAAAAAAATACATTGCATCTAAAATAGGAATAAAAACAAGAATAAAGCCAGATTAATTGTAAAAATACTGGGAAAATAAAAAGCTTTTTGCCTGGTGCCATCGCTCTGTTCCTTTCAGCGCCAGGCAAACCTCCCTGGGAGTGAATTCCACAGCTGGGGCACCACCACTGAAAAGGCCCTGCTCCGAGTAACTGTTAAGTCCAGTTATCTTTTACTAGCTGCTCCTCTCTGAATTTTTCAGTCTGCTACTCTGATCGAAGACATGTATTTTAGAGAAAAGTATGCACAGGCATGCCTATTAGTGAAAATAACATGCAAAAATTAATTTTCCTGGGGAAAATTACTGCAACAATGCTGCTGTGAGACGACCAGGCAGCATCTGTGCCTGAAACAAATTTGCCGACGCATCTTGAAAGACAGATGAAAGCTGTCTCGCAAAAATGAGAAACTCCACAAAACTGAAATTGAACCATGGCTGTTACTTAGTGGCTTTGCTCTTCACCAGTGTTGACGGCAAGCCTAGATGGAACGAGACGCTACAGAGGGAGTTGCATGCTCAGTGAGCAAACTCGACTGCCTTTCTCAGGGTTTGGACAGAACGTGAAGCAGCCTGATTTGGGGTTCTGTGACGGTCCCCTGCAGAAAGAGGCAGATTCGAATGTGCTTCAACTCACTGTCTTGTTTTTGAAAGCATATTCTGTTAAGTGGGAATGACTTAATAATTTTGGCTTGGAGTTTTTTGTTTCGGGGTTTTTTTTTTTTTGCAAGAGGAGAAATATAGCCCCAAAGTGCGGCCTTCCTCCATTCTAGTTCTCATGAAGGTCATAAAATTTGATGTTTGTGCGGTACCAGTTCATAAACAGGGTTAGGAGTTTTCATGCTTGTTCTGTCAGTGCAGGAGTTAAGATTTGAGTGTTCGTACAGGAGAATTCCATCATGCGAAGCCCCCACTTAGAGTTTGGAGGCAGCCCTGCCCAGCCCAACCCAGCCCAATGTAGTCACCAGTCTAGTGCCTCAGCTTTTGAGATCTCAGCTTTGTGACGGTGCGGTTTTTATGTGGTGTTTTAACCCAGCATTGCCAGTAATTCTGCAAACTTCATTTGTAACTTCATTTTAGTCCCTCTTTCCAGAAACTCCCTGCCCAAAAATGCTTTCAAGGACACTAAATAGCCAAAAATGGTCTGCTGCCAACAGTGGCAGGCCCTGCATTTAATAAAAGTTAGATCTGGCCTGTGGAGGAAGAAAGTAACCATTGAAAAAGCTCTCCTGCCTGATTACCTGGAGCCGTTTCTCTTGTGAGGGATGACCAGATGTGAAGCTCTTTTTGTATCTTGCTTTTAGCTGCAGTTAAAGGTGGACATTTTCGCCAGTGTGGTCAGGCCCTTTTATTTAAAAGCATTTTTTAACCCCATAGTGAAAGGTTTCTTCTGGCTTATATGCAAGCGGTCATGCAAAAAAGCCACTGCCCATGGGCTTTCAGTCTAAAAAGAAAGAAAAATCAGTGAGGAGGGCAGAGGGAAACGGGCAACCTCAGGCAGGTATCTTTTGTCATCCATCTAATGACCTGGAAGGGGAAAGGAGCGGCCTGATGGAGCCCTCCTTTCAGCAGAGCTCATGTTTGTGATACTGGCACAGCGCCGCTTTCCGTTTGTGTTCCTTGGGAGGTGGCATGCCAGCCCACCTCTCGGGGCCGGCTGGTCACTTCATATTGCAGCAGGCTGTGCGTGTCTTGGTGTAGGACAAGCTCTTAGGAAGTCGTCAGGAGAGAGTTGGGGACCCTCTAAACCAGTGGAATTGGGGAGGGGCAGTCCGCAGATCCTTGGCATGTTCCTACTTCTTGCCTGCCCAACTCACCGGAGTCGTGTCTCTACCCGGAAGCAACTGGTCCTGAGCTCTAAGTGGGATCATTGTCCTGGGCTGCCAGAAGCTGGAAGCCTTCCTGGCATAGCTCGTCACTGCAGTTGAGAGATGCTCAAACCTGTCTGCTGAACCTGCCTGTGCTGAAGACCTGAATGGTGCCGTTTGCAGGCTCTGTCCGAGGAGAAAGTGGTCTATGAGCGCAGCACCAGCCGGAACATTTACCTGAACGTGGCAGTGAATACCCTGAAGAAACTGAGGAGCCAGCTTCCTAACGCCTCACAGGAGGTCCGCAGTACGTACCCCTGTTTTGTGTCTTGGGACAGCGGCACGTTTTGCTCCCTGCGTGCTGCTCGGCTCTGTGACCGTGTCTCTGTGGCTTCCAGCCACCTCCTTAATGCCTTCGGAGTCCACGTGTAACAAACTGATCCTGAGCAGAGCTCAGACTTGTGCAGCAGAGGAGGGGAAGACCTTCCTGCCCAGCAGGGGCAAAGCGCCCAGTGACATCTGTGGGAGCAAGCACGGTAGCCTGGCCTCATTGTGCCTGGCCATTGCCATTCCTGCCCAAGCATTTTTCTCAGGCAGGTGTTATCCATCTGGGGTGTCTGGGAACCGTCCAGATAGCAGCGTTGAACCACGGAAGCCCCGAGTGCGCAAGGACCTGCAAAGCCGGCTCAGAGCGACTCCTTTTTGTGGCCTCTCCAGTCACACACTTGTTGACATGCTTGGCTTGTGTCTTTCCAGAGATCACCAACCCGAAAGTGGTTTCTCACGAGGCCGTGCTAGGAGGGAAGCTGGCTGCCAAGACCAGCTTTACGTTGAATCGTTCCGCAAGTACGCGAGTGGAAGACCTGACAGGTATGTCCTCCTTTCTGTCATGCATGCGAGGACTCTGGCTCTACCTGTTCCTTAGTTGAGGATGTGCTTTTGTTCCTTTTTACCTGATAAGTCTAGTCTAGCTGGAGCTGGGAGTCAGGCTAGATGGCCCGGGAGACCCTTCTGACTTGCTCTGTTTCTAAGTCTTCCAGGCTGTTTACTAAAACCAGGATATATCCCTAAGTAGAACTGAAACTAGTTTTTCCCATCTTAAAAGCAAATCAGAGCATTGAAAGGTGCAGAGGTGAATGGGCTGGAAGACACTTCCGGAGTAACAGTGAGCTCTTCCCAGAAAACCAGCTCTAGGCATGCCAGGCAGACTTGGTGGACAAGAAGTCCTACCATCAGTGCACAGCCAATAGAAAAGATGTAGTTGCCCAGTTACAGAAAACCTAAATGAAAACTTGAGTGGGCTGCAGCTGCGTCCTTGAATCTTCCTAGAACATCTATGTACTTAAAGCAATAATGTTTGAAGCAAAAAAAAAAAATAATCTGTTTTTTTTTCAATGGTGCTTGCACTGGGTTGTAGTGTCTTGCTCATGCTGTTTATAAGCTATTGCAAGACTTACCTGGGCAACAGGCCAGTAAAAAATATTTTAAAGAGGTAAGGTGATAGAAAAAATAAAACGGGGTGAAAAGGGGCTATGTGATCTCAAAAAGATGGGGAAGATTAATTTCATTGAAAAGGCATTAAAACAGATGCTCGGTGAACTGCTTTCTAAGGAGAATTTTCCACACTAGAACTGAATCTATCCCTGGAAGGCATTTTATTCAGTTATTTTATTCAGTTATTTCTTAGATTTCTATCCTGCTTTTTTCTTACAAACTAAAAGTGGCCTACATCATTCCCCTCCTGCTGTTCTCACTCTTATCCTCACAGCAAAAACTCAGTCAGGTGAACTGGGTGAGAGTCTGTGGCTGACCCCAGAGTCACCCAGTGGTCTCTGTGGCCAAATGGGGACTAGAACCCAGATCGCCTGAATTCCAGACCTGTGCTCTTGACCACTGCACCATGCAAATGGACCATGGCTAAAAAGCCTGAGGTAATTTTAGGTGGCCTCAAAGGAACAGGGTGTCCAGGTGGCAAGATGGACTGGCATTGCTCTCTTCTGGACCAGTCAGACCCTTCTAGGAATTAAGCCATGGTGCCCAGAACTACCCCAAGGGAGGACTTGGCAGACTGGCGCATGTCCAGAGGCAGGAGCCAAAGATGGCGAGGGGTCTACAAGCCACATCCTGGGAGGCGTGGTAGAAAGAACAGAGTTTGCTTACCCTGGGGAAGAGAGTGCTGAAAGGGGATAGGATGCCATTTCCAAAATCCCTTTGGCCTCTGCACAGGCAGTGGTGCAGATCTGCTCGGTTATTCTAAAGGGTCGGATCTGAGGGCTGAAAAGCCAAGGGTTGCACTTTAGGAAGAAATGCCAAATGCGGAGAGCTCCTGGGTGGCGGTGGACCCTGTGAGAGGTTTCCAGGCGGAGGCCGGCTGGTCCTCCAGTGCTGTGCTGTTGGATCTCCTGGGTCAGCAGGGGGCTGGACTTTATGACTTCTGAGAGCCTCTCCTGCTGAGGAAGGGGCAGCCCTTCAGCCAGCAGCAGGCCAAGTGGTGAAGGCCCCCTCCGACGGAAGGCTTCCCTCGTGTGCAGGATGAGAGGCCGTTGGATGCCTCCTCGGGAATGGTGGCCTGTGCTGTGAGCTGAGTGCTTCCCTCCCCAGCAAGACAGGCTGTCCAGCACTTCCTGTAAGCGTCTTTATTCTGCATAGACGTCTCTCAGTATACACAAGCCTCTGAGCATGCCCAGAGTGAGATGTTGACCACCCCCTCCACTCAAAGCGTTGCTTTTGAATCCTGAGCCTGCCTCGGGAAGGAGGTGGGTGTGCCTGCACTTCACACTGAGCCCCTAATTGGGTCAACCTGCAGCTGTGACGACAGGCCCTTTAGTCCCTCCTCAGGAGGCGGGCGTTCTCTGCCCAAGAGACTCCCCGTTTCCCTGGCTCCTCCCTCAGGATGTTTGTCCTCTCCTCCTCCATTCCCACAGGTGGGGGGACTGGGCCCCATCGCTGTCCTTGAACTGTTTGCATCCAGCGCCTGCTCAGACTGGGACTAAGAGCTGGAACTGCAGGTGCAGGCCTGCCACTGCATCAACAATGCAGTTATCAGAGTGTCAGCTCTGATCCCCGTCTGGGTCAGCCAACTCCCCAGCATCCTCGGAGTCCGAGCTATCAGCCCCGCCAAAGCGGTCAGCTTCTCGTGTGTGCCTGGAAATCTCGCTAGACTGCGCGTGCATGCAAGCCTGCCCCTCGCAGAGCTTTACGTCAGAGATAACGCTTTTGAAACCTTTTGGAAGTGTGGAAACCCTTTGCGATGCTTGAAACAGCCAGGGAAACAGTCTACTTGTGAATAAGATGTTACTTTGTTCTCTGGGGGCACCACTCGCATCGTGGCTTCTTTCAGCCTCTTCATTTGCCAAGGCTCTTAAAAGGCACCTTTTTGTGTTTTGTGTTTTGTTTTTAGCTCTTTTCTCCTGCCTTGTTTGATGCCCCTCTGCTGACCAGCCTGTATCTTTTTATTCTAGCAGCTTTTCTTCCACACCATGCAGTGTAAGCTAGCTAAGCCCATGTGAATATCTTTTTTATTTTGATGACTAAGGAATTAATCTGTGAACAAATAAGGATTTCCTCACCTTTTCCTCCCCAGGTGCTGCCTTGTACCGAAGGCTCAAGGAGTACATCTTAACTGAGCAGGACTTGAAGGTGCATGGCTACCCGCTGCCCTGTCCTGAAAAACCAGGCCGGGCAGTGCTCTTTGCGGGAGAAGAGAGGAAAACAAGTGATGGTAAGTTCTGTGGGAGCCGGGTGGGGGTCCAGTACTGATCTTCAGGGTGGGACAGACCAAGTGGAGAGAGAGGAGCCTTCCTTGGCAAATTCCCGTTCCGAATAACCATCCCAAATAAACCATTCTCCAGTGCAGGGAAACATCCCAAAACAGATTCCTGTAGCTGGCACTGTCCACCAAAATGTTCTTCTCTGTTGTCCTTACTGCCTGAATAAAAAGTCAGGATGAAGGCTGCAGACTACTTAGCTTTTCTTGCAAAAGTAGTCCAGACCTTTCTGTGCATCAGAAGCTAAGCTTTTCCCACACACAAAGAAGGGAATGGGCTTGGGAAGTGTGCTTTGTCCCGGTGGGTTATTCCGTTTGCATTTCTGTGCCTCTCACAACTCATCCTTGCGCCACAAGAGGGCAGAGTGTTGTAGGTTAATAGAATCCTCATTTACTCGGGGTGCTTGATATGAAGAAAGCACATTATTTTTGCTTTTAAAAACAATTCTACATGGGCCAGATGTTAGGGGAATAAGCTGGGGCTGTTAAGAACTAAACTTTTAAAGACACTGTGTCTTTAAAGTAAGGAGTATAGGAAGGGAGGCAGACACCCAGACTGAACAAAACCCTGTTTGAAATCCAAAACCCTGTTTCATTTTGGAAGGTTCCTGCAGAGTTTGCTGCCGCTGTGGGACAGAATATATGGTGACAGCTTCTGGTAACTGTGTCCGCAAGGAGGAGTGTGTCCACCACTGGGGCAGATTGCGCAAGCAAAGAGGTAATTTGTAGCCTTGTCGTTGTGTGTTTTTATTCATTTTTCCTGCAGAGGAATGTGCAGAGGCGCAAGTGCTTTTCTCTGCAACTGCACCCCATTTAGCTTCCTAATTTAAGATGTTTACTCTGTGGTTTGCCTACTGTGAAGGCTGTTGTGCAGCTTAAATGGGGGTGGTGTGCTGTATATATACAGCCCCAAGTGTTTGGGCAAACAGTGAGGATGCAGACTCCATAAATACGTTTTCATAAAATAAACTAGTCAGAACGGACCAGAGGGCCATCAGGTCCAACTCTCTGCTCATTGCAGGACTCCAGGTTAAACCATCCCTCTCAGGTGGCTGTCCAGCTGCCTCTTGAAGGGCTGCAGGGTAGGAAAGCCCACCGCCTCCCCAGGTCTTTGGTTCCATTGTCATTTTGCTCCAACAGCCATGCGATTTTTCTTCTTATCTACCCAGAATCTGGGTTCCTGGAACTTGAGCCTATTATTCCATGCTCTCCACTCTAGGAAGACCGAGAAGAGCTCCTGACCCTCCTTATGACACAGGTTCAAGCGCCTGAAGAGTGCTGTTGCACCTGCCTCACTCTTCTCCGAGCTAATTTTGATATTGTTGCTTTGATGATTCAGAGGGAGAAACTAGACCTTGTCTCACCCCCCCCCCCCCGCTTTTCTGTTGGCTGCACCCTTCCCCTCTGCAGAAGGCCACGTTTGAACATTATGCTCCAAGCACAGCTTCTGCCCAAGCAGCGATGGTTCATAATTTGGCAGCTGGAGCTTGTTTCTTGGAAAACATGACCTCGAGGTGCATTCTAGGGATCCTGTTGCTTGTTGTTTCTCTCCTTGTTTCAGTTTTAGGTGGCTGGGAAACATATTACAGCTGCTGTTCCGGAGCGGTGGGTACTCCAGGCTGCCAAATTGCCAAGGTGCGTAACGCCTGGCATCACTTGGTTGGAGAGGTGTTGTGCGCCTAGCCAACTTCTTCCAGCGCAAGCGGGTTCAGTGGACCCGTGGACTGTTGCTTCGCTTTTGGGGAGCTTCGCATTGGCAGCGGGTCCTGCTTGTGCGAGCACTCCCCTGATTTTATGCAGGATTCTTTCCCAGCTCTGCCCAGAAGTGCTGGGAGCATCTGCAAGCACACTTGTGTCTGTGTGCCTCTCCTTGAAATGCCAGCGAAGCTCGTGGAAGCTGCTGCGGTCTCTGGCAGCGAGTCCAGTTAACTGGGCCTTGACAAAGTACTTGCTTTGCAGTCTGCCAGTTCTGTTCCATGGCCATTGCACACCCTGTCCCTCATTTGACCCTCACAGGAGAGGGAGGAAGCAGTGATCTTTGCTTCTCTCTGCTTCTCTTTCTCAAAAACCTGCAAAACCTAATTATGCAGGTTGGCTTGTGCTAGCTCACTGGCGTAAGTCAGCCTGTCCTTCTGTGCTGTTGGACTTTAGAGGGTGGGAACGCCTGTACCTTGAACCAGGGTGAAGTGAAGGGGCTCTTTCACCTTCCTCTAGGAGGCTTATATCGCATCTGCTCTTTAATCCTCTCCTCACTTTCAGCAACATGTCTACGATGGCCGGAAGGAAAACCTGGAGGGTTTTGTGAAGACCTTTGAGAAGCTGCCCAGTGCGGATGGCAATCCAGGCATCTATGCCTTAGACTGTGAAATGGTGAGCGAAACATGCAAGTGAGATATTCTCTGAGCATTAGGCGGGGCCTGTGTGCCTATCTTAAAAAAGCTTCAAAATTCACGCTCTGGAAATCAGAGCTTGCTGCCTGTATGCGTGGATGCAACACTGAGCCTGCTGTGATCTTGGCTGGTGAGTGGTGCAGGCAAGCTGCATGCCCAGTTCAGTTGCCCTGGGCTGGAGGGTGGAAAGAACGCTGCTCTGGCCCCTCCGGGGGCTTGGGCCCAGGGTCCCTGGTTTGGGGAGCCGCATCCTCTGCTTTCTGGGAGCAACCTCAAAGCGAGGGGCAGCCATCTGTTGGACAGGGAAGGCAGGACCAAACTGCCCTTCTCTGCCAGGCTTCTCTCTAATGGGCATTTTCCCTACTGGGACCACACAGGGGAGGGAAGGCCCCCTCCCCTGGCTGAAGGCGCCTGAGTCGTGCACCCAAGTACCCTCAGCAGAGAAAGGCCAGAATAGCCTGTCACCCAACCCCCCAGCCTCTTCTTTCTTTTCCTTTCTCCATTGAATAGCCCTCATTAGATACACAGAAGTAGGAAATATGTCTTTACCTGGAAAAAACTGAAGAGCCAGAACAATTATCAGTAGTATAGAGAGGAGGGAGAGTGCAGAAGAAACCACATGCTGGGGGGCAGGGGAGGGGGGCAGAGGGGGATGGAATGGCATATCCGGGCTGGAGTCCTGGAGAAGAAAACTGTATTTTGCTGCAAAGTCTGTGTGCTGCTTGTCGAGAACATCTTGTCTTGCTTCACCCCATTCTGCTTCTGTGCGTCTCCAGGGGCATTGAGAGCTGGGTGACAAAATGCTTTCAGCCCAAGGGCTGAATTTCATTTTAGGGATGCTCCATTCCAGCGGTGGACAAGGCAGAGGGGGCCAGGACAAACTATTAGTGTATTTTTTCCTGAAGCTCTGACTGCATGTGCTCAGGCCTTGGGAGAAGCCTGTCAATCATTTAGAAAGTGGGTGGGAAGCTGAAGAAGACACACCCGCTTGAGGTCTCCCGCACCTGGGCTCCTGTGGGCAGCCGGGGAGGGGCAGCCGTGGTCCCCCTCCAGCTGTAATGTTTCTTGGCTGACCTCAGCTTGGCCCCCAACTCAGAGAGCGGCTGTGAGGGAGAATTGGGGGTGGGGTGGTCAGGGCTGAGTCCTGGGGGTCAAGGCAGGGTGGAAGCAGCAAGAACTGTTCAAGCCACAGCAAAATTCCATCCCCAGCCACTGAAAAATGCTCAGGTACAGTGAGCTGGGCCGAATTATTGTCTTGTCGTCTTTCATTCCTGGTCTCTTCACACATGTATGCTTTGGCCAACTAATGAGAAGGAAGGACTCGCCAGAGGAGTCCCTGATGCTGGGAACGAAGGGGAAGGGGTTGAGGTGGCTGGATGGGGCCGCTGGGGTGGGCTCCGGGGGCTGGTGGAGGACAGGAGGGCCTGGAGCAAGCTTGCCTGTGGGGTCGTGATGGGTCGGACGCGACTTGGTGACGAGCAGCGACGCACTTGTACCCCTGACCCTGAACTGTGCCTCTGTCCCCGGGATCCCGCAGTGCTACACCAAGCAAGGCTTGGAGCTGACCCGCATCACCGTGATCGACTCGGAACTCAAGGTGGTCTACGACACCTTTGTCAAGCCTGACCACAAGGTGGTGGACTACAACACCCGGTGAGCGCCTGCAGGGGCGGGGGGGGGGGGCAGTCTGCATGTGACGCTTGGCCACTGTGTCTGGCCAGCCGTTTGAATATCCACACCAGCCTGGGCAAACCAGGATGGCACGGGGGCTGCCTGCACGTTGTCCAGCCCTCGTGTCACCTGGGCAGCCCAGGTGGGACTCGCGCGTGCTGTGGAGCCCTGCAGATTAATCCACTCGGCGTGGCTCAGCTTTATCCGTGTGCCAGGGAGGTGCAAGATGGGCGTGCAAAGTGACGGTGGTCGACTGGCTGAGTGGTCCGGAGAGCCTAGGTTAGTCTGCTCTGTCCATGGTTTCCTGGGGGCTCAGGCTGACGGCTTTCCTGGTCCTTGTGCTCATCTAAGAGGATGGGAGGAGCAGGCCAAGGATCCAGCATTTGGTTCCCAGCCTTGAACCTGTGCGTGGGCCTGCAGGAGACAGCACAGAACCATCAGGACTAGCAACTTATTCTGCCCCACTCTCTTTGGCCCTCTCATGAAACATCGAAACTAGGTGCCATGTGAAGGAGCCCTGCCCTGAATCTTCCATCGATCCACTCCATGGGGTGGCGAGAGGGCACTGCAGCCCTCTTTGTGCCTCTCCCTCTCTCTCTGTCGCTGTCCCACCTGTAGAGACTCTTTCTCCAGGTAAAGTGATGTGGAACTGTGCATATAAATGCCAGGTGGCTGGCTCTTGATTCATGGAGCAAAGTGCTCCTCCTCTTCCGTGTCTCCTTGGAAGCTCCTGCTCAGGGCTTGCTGCCTTCCTCTGGGTTGAACTGCCCAGGCCAGAATCATGTGGGTGGCAGTTCTTCCTCTGCAAGTGGGCAGTGTGGAAAATGTGTCTGGAAAGGGTCAAAGGGAAACGTCTGGCCCAAGTAACCGCAGCCTTTCCCCGCCAGGTTTTCCGGAGTGACTGAGGCAGACCTGGAGAACGTGTCCGTAACTCTCCGGGACGTCCAAGCAGTCCTCCTGTGCATGTTCAGTTCGGAGACCATCCTGATTGGGCACAGTTTGGAAAGTGACTTGTTTGCACTCAAGGTAAGCCCTGCCCGCCTCGAGCCAAGGGGAAGCGCTCCAGGTGGGGACTCTGCTGGGTCCCTGCGGACTCTCCCCCAAGCCCCCGTCTCCGGCCGGCGCGGGAGGAACTGCCTCATGCTTCCAGGAGCCCATAACTGGACGGGCTGTGCCTCCTTTCCTCCCGCAGCTCATCCACTGCACTGTCGTGGACACGGCAGTCGTCTTCCCACACCGCCTGGGCTTGCCTTACAAGCGGGCGCTGCGCACCTTGATGGCAGACTACCTCAAGCGCATCATCCAGGACAGTGGTGAGGCTCTGGGCTGGGGGAGGCGGGGCTGCTCGGCAGAACTCTGGCAAAGCTCCCCACTGACTCCTGTCTTCCCTGCTTCGGAGCCGTGCGGCTCTCGGGCGCAACCTCTTTAGGCCAAGACCGAACTTCCATTTTGAAGAAGTGTGTGTGTGGTGGGGGAGTCATTCGCATGGCGGGCGGAGCAGGAATCCTCCCCTGACTCAGTGTGAAATCTTGCCTGTCGGACCTTGGGCGTAAGCATTCCAGCACAGGGATTGTGCGGAAGTCAGGCAGTGCCGGGGAGAGGCTGGGAGGGTGAGCTGGGGCTGCCCGTGCAGCCTTGGGCTCGGGCAGGCCTGCCACGCGCCATCGCCGTGGGGTTCCCCTCCAGAGCTTCGGCTCATAGCCCTTCCACCTGCGGGCTGGGCTCTGGCCCGTCCTCCTCCTGCACTGTTCTTGTAAGAAGGACCCTGCTGGTCACTGCCACGCTCTGCCAAGTTGGGCTTCAACGTGGCAAGCCAAAGCGCCCCTAGGCAGCCCATGGGGAGGAGGGAAGGCACCTCCACACCTTTCTGTGGGCACCAGGCTTCCGAATGCAGTCATGTGGAATACGCTCAAGCAAAGGGGGCCTTCTGCTGAACCCTTGGTCAAGCGCAAGGCACGGCGCAGGGTTGCCTGGTCCAGCGCCCTCGCCTGCAGAACCATGTTGCGCTGTGAGGACTGCCTCAGGAAGGAAGGACAGGATCACGCCGGTTGTCCCTTCCCCGGCATTCCAGCCCTCGCAGCCTCAGGGTCACCGCCGGCCGCTCTGGAGGAACGAGCCATTGACGGCTTCCTGTTTGTGTTTGCTTCCTGGCAGTGGATGGCCATGACTCCAGCGAGGATGCTCGAGCCTGCATGGAGCTAATGATCTGGAAGATCAAGGAGGACGCGAAAGTGAAGCGGTGAAATGCCCCACGGTCGTGCTCCTTCCTGTCTTTGGCACAGTGCAATAATATTTCTCCAGGAGACACCTGTGATCAGCGGAGGGCCTGTCCCAGACTTCCCCTCCGGCTGATCACAGGTGTCTTGCGGAATTGGGCAGGAGCTGCTGTGGCATCGACCGGTGGAGCGCCATGGCACCTCCACCCCCCCAGCCTGGAACCAGGCTAAAATAAACCACATGTGGCCCCGCAGGGGCAGCTTCCTCCCTGCAAGAAGAGAGGGGCAAACCTGTTGGAGCCGCCAAAATAAACTTTATAGGCACTTGACCCTGCAGTCTTCCCCTCCATCCTGTTTTTGAGTTTTAAACTCTAGCTTCTAGTTTAGCTGTCTGGTTCAGCTGGGGTCTTACTATTTTCCTGGCCTGCCGAACGGTGCAGGGGTGGGTTGTGGCAGCCGGCAGAGACGCGGGTCAAAGGGGAGTTCCCGGGTGGGAGCATCTGGGGGCACAGGAGAGGGGTTGAGAGCTGGACGTGGCTCAGACCAGGCAGGAGGGGATGTGGCTGAAACGGCCGTGCCTGACAGGCAGGGTGTGGGAGGTGGCCGATGCAGGCAGTGGAGGGGCAGCGAGGCAGGAGATGAGTGTTCGCAACTTGGGGTGTGGCTACGGGGAGCTTGGGGGCTCTGCTGTGGGATGACTGGTCCCAAACCACAGGGAACTCACCACTGCCTGGGATTTGGGTGCTACTTCCAGCACCGGAGAGGCCGATAAGGGAGCTGCGTGGAGCCCAGGAGAGGCTGCTCACTCCAGATTGCTTTTGGACTCCACTTGGGGACTGCAGGTGAAGAAGGTGGGCAAGAGGAGCCTGGATTTGGTGTCGAGTATATTTACAGGGTGTCCCAAAAAATTTGACATTATTTGAAATGTGAATATCTGAGTAACTACATGTCCTAGGCAAACGAAATTAAATCGGCTTCATGTTGAACAATAAAAGATTTATCAAAATTTGAACGAGAGATTCAAAGGGATGTAGATTTCATAACCAGTTTCACAAAGCTCCACAAATGTTCAATATGCGCACCGCCTGTGACACGACACACGAGTCGATAGTCCACTTCCTGCCAAACACGCTGTAGCATCTCTTGTGTAACTAACATTAGTTTTTACACACTTTGTTAAAAATTTGAGATCATTTGAGTGAGAATTGGCTATGTTCTTAGACCACAAAATGATGTCAATTTTTGGGGGACACCCTGTATTTTTAACTTGAAGGGCTCTTGCAGAAATTGGGGTGGGGGAAAGTGGCACCTAGTGTCCCCACCTTCCCACCTTGCTTTCCCATCTCACGCACAACATCACGAGGACGCCATGGCTTCCCACTCTCGCCCCAGATCGCTTCTCACTTACCCTTGCTGCTCTTCAGCAGCCGTTGACCACAGCCGTGGCAACCTCACTCTTGAGGAGGCAGCCAGGATGTGGAGCGCATCATGTGGGAACATGAGTTCCCACGCCCTGCATTTCCTGGGACTCTGAGCATTCAGGGACACCCCCCTCGCAGTCCTCCTTCCCTGTCAGCGGCTGCTTGGCCGGGAATCGACTAGCCCTGCACACCACGTGCCCCTATTGGTACTTGGTGCATCCTGACCCACTGAAGGAGGGAATGTGTCCCCGCCCCTTCTCTACACAGCCCTGCGGGACGCCCTTTTCCTTGTGTTGAATCGGCTCCGTTTCCCTTTGCTCTTCCCAGCGGTCCGGTTCGTGTCTGGCACAACCGCTCGGGCCTGGGTTTTAGGAGAGGAGGCGAGGAGCCCTCCATGCCAACATGCCAGGGAGGCTGAGCGTGCAGTCGGTGCCCAGGTAGCCGCACTGGCCTGGGGGAGCTCTCTGCCGTAGAGGCATAACTCGGCCCCCACGGCATGTTGTTTGCCCTCGTAGTGTGACTCTCAGGGACTCTCTTTGCAAGCGTCCCACCTGGACTTGATTCTCCCCTTGACTACATCAGGGTGAGCCTTCCCAACACTGCAGTTTCCTGCATCCACACAACCCTGGAGTTGGTTGTGTGAATCTTCCTTCAGGTGGAAGATGAGAGGAAAGCACAGTGTACTTCCAGTGGCACTTGCTGTATGGATTTGGGGAAAGATAGATGCATAGACACCTTCCAAGTTGCGAGGTGCTTTCTTTCATATCACACTTCCAAGCTTAGTTGGGACCTTTTAAAACATTCCGAAGTATATGTTGCTGGCTTTTTTGTGCTGCCCTTGCTGTGGACGCCACCTGGGAAACGGATAAATGTTACCCAGGCTAGAATACCAGGTAAAGATCTCCGTGAAGATTGTCCCCGTGGAACCATAAAAGAAAATATGGCAGTCTTTCTATCGCTTCTATCTCCTTACATAGTCAGTTGGCATGAGTGTAAATACAATGCTTTAGAAATGGAACAAGTAGGGATATAGGTTTTCCCCCTTGCTGCTTGTTTAGCCAAGGGGATGTATTTGCACTACAAGTCCATACCACGTTTAAAACCTGCTTCCTTGTCCTAGCTCTTCTCTCTCCCATCCTGACCTCCAGGAATCTCTGGGACCGTAGGCCTCGACTCTCCCTCATTCAAGGTCTGTCAATCCAATTTCTACCAGTTAATTCTCTGCTGCTCTTTTAGTGTTTGCTGATCCAGAGCAGGAGCAGCGTCCAGCCTGCCCTTTGGCTGTCCCTTCAAGAGTGAGAGGTAAAGCCAGCAATCCCCATTTCCTTAAAAAAAAAACCAACCCCCCGCCCGGCATTTTCGATTACAGGTACTCCCTTCCCAGTGAATCCAGACTCCTGCAGACTTTGTATATGCCCAACTGTATATCTGTCAACACTATTTTGTAATTGTTTTTAATAAAATAATAATATTCCTGACATTATCCTAAGTTTTATTTGTGGTGGTAGAAAATCTGTCTAGGCTGAAGACGGGTCAGGGTTGTGATTTTGGAGTACCGTCCAGAAACAGCGATTCTTTTATTGTCTATTGCAAGCTTAAAACTTCTAGATGTTTCGGGCTAATGTTTCCCTGATCTGTGACTGCAGGCCACACTGGCCCAGGGCTATGGGGCTGTAGCCAAAAAAAAAAAAAAAAAAAAAAGAATGCATTGATTAAGGCAGTAGCAAAAATGATAAGCAGAATATCAGGATTGATCATGGAATCCACCACTGCCAAGAGGGAAAGGTTTGGTGAGCGCACACACCTCTCCAAAGAGGCACGTTGGCCATACATCTCTTTTTAGCCTGTAGAAATTAGATTTGGGGTTGCTTTGGCTTTTTAAAAACAAGCGCACTTTCTGCAGGTTTCTGTGTTGCAGGTCCTTCTATAGAAAAGGCTGGCTCCATAGATAGCAATCACAGCTTCTCGGATGCTTTGCTAATATTGTATCCTAGCCTATCTAGAAGGCACCAGGTGGGAGCAGGCTGGGCTCCTGCCAGCCAGAAATGGGAAAAATCAGGCCTGAACTCCTCTTGAAGATGGGGCTTTCTTGGTGGCCTTGGGCCAGCCTTTTACTCTTGGGCCATGCGGAGATGGAATACTGCTCCCATCAGCCTTCAAATGGGAAGGCTGGCGCTCAAAAGAAGTGCATCTCGCAGGCTTTCCTGTGGCAAGTCCCATGCTCCCAAGAGGGATGGGAGGTGTAATTTCTTTTGTGAGATGGATGGTCCTGAATTGAAATTCTGAGGAAACCTATCCGGGGACAAAGGAGACTGGGCAGTTTGGTTCTCAGAAGCTGGCCCTGTGCTTTCTCAGTGCCCTTGGGAGTCGTCTTCCAAATTGTTACCAATATGGTACAGTATAGAGTATATGAGTAGAAGAGCTTCCTGTTTAAATCAGTATTGTTTTCCTAACCATGAGGACCAGAATCTTATTTTAGGATGTGGTCAGTGGTAGACCACCTGCTTTGCTTACAAGAAACAGCTACTGGGTTCAGTCTCCCTCCATTTTGAAGGATTGGAAACAGGCTGTGGGAAAAGTTCCTTTTTTGTCCAAAACCTTGGAGGGCTACTTCAAATGAGAGAAGATAGTCCTCAGCTCAGCTCTTGGTGCAGAAATTTGGCCCTGGCCAGAGGGCTGTCTCCTGCAGGCAGAGGTGCAGAATTTCCAACTCATGGGCCAAAGCTGACCCGAGTCCAGAAAAACCTGCTGGCCTCCCGGAACCACCAGTTATTTGCGACTTTCCTGATCCTTGTGCGCTTTCCCACTGTCTGGGTGGTAGGAATGCCATTTGGACAAAGCGAAGGGGATGAGTGGGTCAAGGGCTCCCCAGCTAGGCGCTTGGTGTGCGCCTCCCAATTTTCCTCAGGAAAGCACCAAATCTTCACACAGCACATCCAGTTGGTTTCTCATTCAACAAAATCTGGGCTTGGTTCTTTGTGGGGGCTGAGCGCTGACTCTCCCACCCCAACCCCAAAGCCCCTCATTGTCTGCCTTATTGATCAAGGTGCTGAGCCTCATTAAAGGCCCTTCTCGGGTTAATTTGCCAGTGTAAGCTTTTTACCGGCTAATTTGGGACACCGGGTTCCAACAGGAGGATGGGGGGCTGCATGGCGGGCAGGCCGCCGGGCCCTGCTGAGATATTGACAGATGTGTCAGAACCGATTTGTGCCCCATGATATGCGTGGGGTTTGCAGGGAGGTGTCCCGACATGGAAGCATCCTGTTACGCACAACCAGTCCTGGGCTTGCTCGCTGCTTTGACAATTTATTTCCCACAGTGGGGTGGTAGAATGGTGAGGTAGGATCCTAGATGGATTAATCCACCCATGTTGGTTACTTCCAGTTTCTCATTTTTCTGTTCTCAAGTTCACCCCAAATGGAGAAATTCTCCCATCTGAAAATTGTTTCATATGGAGCATTAAGACACATGTTTGTGGGGAATTTGTGTGTGTGTGTGTGCGCGCACACACACACACATACAGATTTGTTTTTGCTTAATGGCCACATTTGAACAATCTATTTAATCTACAATCTTCTTTAACACAATTTCCCCAGCATATGTATTTCTGAATGTATTTTTAATTTATTATTTATTTGGAATTTTTGTATGCCGTCCCATTCCCATAAGCCTCAGGACGGCTTCCAACATCATAAATAATACATATAACATACATATAAAAACTGGAAACATCCTGGCTCAATATATTAAAACCAATAAATAAAATCAACAATTAAAATATCATTTAAATAAAAAGGTCTTGGCCTGGCGCCGAAAAACAAATAACGACTGAATGCTGAATGTTACAACTGAGTTCTCTAAAGAGTGAATTTTGAGGCCTATTCAAATTTCAGATCAGATATTGATTCAAAAGTGTGAAGTTAGGTAAATTCACAATGAAGTGCAAACTTGAGGCATGACTCTACCTTTGCCATTAAATGGGCACTTGATTCTGAGTTTGCTTTTTCTACTTAAATGTATTATGTTTTAAAGGCAGGATATCCAATGACAGAACTCAAAGCAAGTGGCGCTTGGCTCTTGGATGGAGTGGGCTGGTTTGCACAACTGCAACACAAACACTGGTTGTGTACCAGCCAGAGTGTCCCGATTACTTTTGCTAGTGTGACTTGTTCCAAGAGCAGCAACCCCAAGTTACGCAACAACAGCCTATGCCAAGCAAGCCCATGCCACTCTGGACACTGTGGCAAGCGGCGATCTTGCAGAGGCTGTGTCTCTGAATGAGTTCCTGCCCTGCAACACAGGCAGTGCAAAGGGATCGATCCTAATGCTGTGTGTCTAGCTCAGGTTTGATTTGCTCTGAGGCAGATGTGGCAACATGGCTTTCAGCCTCACCGTTCCAGCAAGAAGGCATTTAGGCGCATGCCTTCCAAGACTCGGAATCCATGGGCCACGGCAGGCAGCTGCTTCTCTGCACAACCCATTTTACTCTCACATAGGGTTCGAGCCCCGGCGTGTTGCGGTGAGGCTTTTAAGATCCATACTGGGGAAACCACTTACTTGGGAGCAAAACTGAAGAGCGAGATGCTCGACTCAAGTTTTAAAGTCGTGTGTCTGTCCGGGCCCTGAGAAACAGGAGAGCAAGCAGCATGAACAGATGCGCTCCGTGATGTTGCCAATCGATTGCCGAAAAATGTGGCTTTGTCACTGAGGTCTTGCTCTGTAAAGAGCTTATGCATGACCTCCAAGCAGTTCCCCAATTCCTGATCAATACATGGGCCACGAAGCCCCCCGTCCTCCAGTGCCCCACGCCTTTGGCCGGCCACGGCCCCCTCTCGTTTGCCTCGGCTGTCGAAAGGCCTGGACAAAAATTAAAAGTAAAATGGCTGTTCAAAAGGCAGGATCAATCGTTCAGCGTCACCCCTGACCTCGCGAGCTTCACGGCTCTGGAGAGGGGTAAGCCGCACAGACGCCCTTTGAATGCCGCACAGTGGGGGCCCTGGGCCGCATGCTGTGCAGGCCCTTCTAGGCACTCAGCGCCAACCTGGCTTTCCCTTCCACTTCTCTTCCTCCCCTCCTGCTGCACCGTTCTGATGCATCAATCTTCCCCGGACAAACAGGGGAAGAAGGAAGGGGTGCGTCTGCAGGGTGGCAATCGGTGCCAATTGCACCAAAAGTTTGGGAGCCAACGGGGCATCCTGGAAATTAATTGGATGCCCCAATATTTGGGGAACTGGAGCATGCTTCACTGGACTCGCAAGGACGGAGGCGTCTGAACATGGGCAGAGGACTGTTCCTCATGCAGCCAAAGCTGGCTGCTTTCTCATGGGGCAGGCAAGCTGCAGAATGAAGGCTTCTGGACTGGTCCCTTGCTGGTATATCCAAATGCATTTATCCCACTTCAACTTTCAATGGTTGGGCAGAGAACTGTTGTTATTTTGTTATTCTGGAAAATGACCCGAAAAGAAAGAAGAGCTATTCAGTTTAGTTTATTCCACCCATCCCTGAAACAACTCACTCCTTTTCTCCAGAACAACCCTGCAAGGTAGGTTAGTGCAATGGTAGACAGGGAAAAAGGTGAGCTTCATGAGTGATTCGAAGCTACCTCTAAGGAAAGACCTTCCCCCCACAAGGCAGTGTAGAAGATAAAAACAGCAAACTATGCAAAACAATAAGGTCCAGTTGCAGGAGGGCTGAGTGCTTAAAAATACAGTCAGCAGCTTAGGGTAAAGAGATGAGTCTTCAGAATTTTCTTGAAAACCTGCAAACTGGTGACCTGCAACGGAAGTGCAGCCCAGAAGTGGAGGTATTTTTGGCAAAGTATTGCTGATGTGCTCCAAATATGGGCAGGCTGGCTAGTCCATATGAAGGCAGTTTTCCTGGGTGTTGTACATGTCAGGGAAAAAGGGACTGTATGCCCTGGTCTAAGCACAGAAAGGCCATGTTGGAAGTGGGTCAACGTCCTTTGTCCCTGTAATGGACACGTCTTTGCCACAGCAGGAAGTCCAAAATTGCATGTGAATGCCAAGGCACCTAAGTTCCCTGGCTGTTCTCCTACGGACTCCAGTTATGCTCTTGGATGCCCTTTTCTGTCGCAATGTCCACTGTTCCAGGGCTAGATGAAGGACATGGGCAAATAGCTTCTGATAACTTGCTGCTGCTGCTTTTCTCCCTCTTACACTTCTTAGGGAAAAGAGAATTTGTTGCGTGTGGGGGGTGGGTGGGTGGGGTGGGGGATCAGCGTTCTGGCTGTGAAGAGCAAGGCGCTTTTCAACTCATGACTTTTTTTACTCTAATCCGCACCCTGAATGGCGAAAAATGGAAACACGCACACCCACAAGCTTGGCTTAAGCCTTCCCAAGTCCCTCTGGAGTGAAAAGAGTAACTTTTAATCCTTCTGATCCCGCTAAGGTTGTACGGGGAAGTGGGGGCAGACAGGTGGGGGTGGAGAGGGCGAAGCTTTGACATGGGTGTCCCCCCAGCTGTTAAATAGCAGAGGAGAGCAAAAACTGGAGTCACATTCACAGAGGGAAGAAGAGAGAGCAACTTGGATCGGGTGAGTAAGTTCAGGGTGCTATCAGCAGTCCTGCTTTGAGCTGGAGATAAATGCAAATTATTAGAAAGGTGCCAATTCAAAGACATTTCTGGGCAGTCAGGAAGTTTTAGGCTCTAGCTAGATGCAGTGGATTCGGGGGGGACGGGGGACAGGACTTTTGGCATGCACCTGTTCAGAAAGTATGAATTATCTGCTTTCCTTCTTAATGAGATAAGGGGCCATGCTCTGTTTGGTGACCCTTCTCAATCTGCTAAACAAAGCCCTGGATTTCATAGTCTTCCAAACTGGAATCTGGGACCTGGTATAGAAAAGATTCCATTATGCTGGTCCAGTTGCTGGTGGATCAGCACCGAAGTTTTGCTTTAAGGCAGCACCAAATTTTGCCTTTAACTTACTTAGCTCAGCTTCAGAGCATCATCCATGCCCACACTTAACCAGCCAGCTGCTGCTGCTGCTGTTGTTAGTCGTGAAGCCATGTCCGACCCATCGCGACCCCATGGACAACATTCCTCCAGGCACAACATTCCTCCAGCAAGCTGTGCAAGCAGCTAAAAAGACAGACCGATGAACCCATCTGTGGTCCAGAGAACCATCTCTGGTCCTTATCCTGTGCAAACGAAGTGAACTGCCTTACATCAGTTTGCCCAAAGCTGTGATGACATTTTCTGTGGTGGGTCAAGCTTTGTAGTTCTCCGGACAAAAGAGCGAGCTCTTCTCCTTGGATTTTGGAAGTCTTGGAAGTCTTGCCACTTCCTTCCAGGACTGCCTTTCTTCTAGACATCCTTATTCACCAGAGGAATTCCTAGTGTGTGGTCCATGTAGCTTAGAATTATTCTCCCAGCTGGAGCCTTTGGACCAATGGGTAAAGAACACCTGGTGGGCTGGATTTGACCCTTGACCTGAGGCTCTTTGCTGATGGGCATGATTTAATTATGCTTATTTATTAGATTTGTATCCCATCTTTCTGAAAGAATGCAAAGTGGCTTACATCATTCTCCTGCTGCTGCTGTTACGCCTATCCCCACAACAACCCTGTGAGGTAGGCTGGGCTGAGCGTCTGGGACTGGCCCCAAGTCACCTAGTTGGTGCCAGGGCTGAGCAGGGACTGGAACCCGAATTGCCAGCTTGGAATGCATGCTGGTTTGTACCATTTTAAGCTGCTTTCAAGGACTACGGAGGTTGTTTCTCTGACCGATCTTTCTCCCTCTTCTACACAAAGGTAGCAGAGGGCACATGTATTACACAGGTGGGCATGCGGTTTACCCACTCCTTCCCTCCCCATCTCTGGTGTACACCTTGCCATCCGTGCCACAGGTGCCTGAGGGTTACTCCTTCCTGCCACCACCCCTAAGCCGAGCCTCACCTTTCCGCAGTGTCCCCATGACAGACCCCCTGTCAGGTAAGAGAAATCCTACTTTCAAATGCGCAGGCATGCAACAGAGAGAGTTTTCACTGATGCAAAGGCACATTCCGTCTGGTGTCTCCTGATGTGCCAAACGACAATCCCATTATCCATGCTTGATGGGGATAATAGGATGCGTTGGATGGACAGCAGGTCGGGAGTAATGGACTCTGGTCGGTTCTTAGCTCCATGGAAAGGGCTGTGCATCCTGATCAACATTTTCAAGGTGCTTTCGCCACCCTTAGAAAGCTAAGATTTGGAGGTCTCACTCAGATCCTGGGATGTGATGTCCATCTTCTCACACCAGTCCGGGACCCCAGGGGACCTTGTGCATGACACAGAATGGACAGCTCTGACCTGGAAGCACCTTTACGAAGGGGTGCAAACCTTTCTCCTGGCTCTGTCCTCTGCTACAGTCTCCCGCCCCCCCCAAATTTGGGGAGGACAAATTTGCTCACCTGGAATGTGTGCATGTGTTAGGTAGAACAAACCACAGGTGTCTTCCAGTGACCATCTTCTGCAACCCAAACTCTACTGGGCCCCATGCAAAGAACAGACACATTGGCGCAAAATAGTTAAGAAACAGAAGCTGAAATATAAGCTGCTCCTAATTTTCCTCTGTCTTTCCCTGGGGGTATGTATTGCTTGCCGAATCCAAAATACTGATTGCATCCTAAAGAAGGCCAAATTCTAAATCCTAAGAGTCAAACTGTAGCATTTGGATTTCTAAGTGTATTGTAATTTTCCAGATTTACCTGAGGAGGTTTAAACAAATGCTCAACCCCACCTTGCTCTGAGGCTTAGTAAGGGCAGCAGGCCAGATAGAATGCCAACTTTTTTCTCTCTCTATTGCTGGAGTTGTGAAATTCTACTGGGAGGACCAAATGAGACACAGCATACCTTGGGCTGTTTACTTTGCACAACTTCAAGCATGCATACACACACACACACACACACACACACACAAATGGAAAGTCAGAGGCTGGAATTTCAATCGCAATACGGCTTGAAATGTGGGTCGGTTCATAATGGCCATCGGTTGCTTCTCCTCCAGTGATGGTCTGTCTTCCAGTCCCAGTCGCTGGAAAACATGAATGGGAGATGGTTTTGTGGTGCAAATGTCTTTTGCGGGCGCTGTGGTTCCATTGCGCTTTTACAGACACCTCAGGACCTCAGGTGGGGCTCTCGGGCTCCACCTGGAAGGCTTAATCCTGTCCTCCTTTGCTTCCCATTCTCTCCCACACACCCATGATGGGCAGAGTTCTTGCTGGATCTGCGCCATGGTCTCCATCTGAAACGGCGGAGAAGCCGGACGGCGTTCACGGAACAGCAGCTGGAGGCGCTGGAGAGCACTTTTGAGTGGAACCATTATCCCGATGTGGGCACCAGGGAGCGCCTGGCTGTCTTTGTCAACCTGCCCGAAGCCCGGGTTCAGGTAAACTTGCAAGCCCCTGATTCCCTTCAAAGTCGCCATGTGGAAACCCCTCCACATGCTCCTCCAGCTCTGCATGCAGAGATGTGGTGGGGAGCCTTTCACTGGGCTTCTCTGGGGGCAGAAGGGGGGCTAACACAGCTGCCTCCCCACCCCCACCTCCTTCTCTACTCAGATTTTTGCTGTGGTCCCATTTTCAGCCACTGCCACAGATGGTTGTCTGATCTCTGTTTTGCATCCGCTACAAGGAGTGGTTTTGCATGACATGGTAAAGCTGCAAGTCAGGTGTGGCTTAGTATGTCATCTGAACCCCAGGTTCCTGGCTTGCAGAACCTCCTTCAACCCCAGACCCATACCAAATAGAACGACATTCCAACCCACCCCTAGCAACCAGCAAGCCCAACCGGTTTGCTAGAGAGTGTATTTGCTTTACAAAATGAACGGAGGTTCAGAGATTTCTTTAGCGACTCCCTGCCCCAACTTTCTCCCTATAATCTGAGCACAAGCCCCACAACACAAGGGAAATGCCACAGTTCATGACAAGATGGAGATAGAGACATTGCTTCACTAATGACTTCCCTAAAAGACTATTCCATCCAACAGAAAACTGGTTGTCACTTCTCCCAGCCTTTCAGTTTATAATAGGGGCATTCCTGAATTCTTTGTAAGACCAGTTGCTCCAGAAAGTATGAGCTAAGCACCCTCATTCCATGCTTTGCTGAAGGCTCTTCTATTCCTGCTGTGCTTTTATTCCACAATGGTTCTTCCTGAGCTATTGGGAAACAGCCTGGGTGGAGGGTGAAAGAACCAAGCATTCCAGTTTTTCACTTTTATACCAAAAGGTGTTTAAAAGGCCAAGAAGCAGTGCCCTTTATTTCTTCTCAGCTGTGATGTGTCACCTGTTCTTTGCTCTGATTTAGAGGCACTTCTGGGATCCTCAGCGGATTTTGGAGCTCTTGCATTGTCTTGTTTCCAAAGAAGACCTACCCATTTCCCCACCCTGTGTTTAGTTTTGAAATTTCCTCGTGTGTATACAATGCTTTCTATTAATGTGTGCCATCCCTCATTTAAATTAGGGATTTAATTTTAATTAAGGATGTGAGCACCTGAATCAAGAGCACCGCTCACAGGCAGGAAACCTACATGCTTGTCCATCTAAGTGGAGGTCTGGTGGCTTTGCTTTTAAAGTTCTGGGTCGTTTGGCTAGGACGAAATGAGAGGCCCTGACTCTTTTAGGCACAGCTTATCTTTCTCAGCTGTCCAGGCCAGGCAGTTTGCTGCAATTTGGCTAGTGCAGGTGGGTACAATTTTTCTTTCAGCCTGTCTTCAATGATCCTTTCCCAAAATTTGAAAATTCCTTCATCTCCAGAATGCAAAATATTAAATGTCTGAAGGCAGGCAAAAGCTGGTCAGGCAGATTCTTGAGTCCATCCCTGATAGAGGATGAGCGAGTTGGTCCGCCAGGGCAGTGCGGGAATGTTTTCCCTCTGAACCTATGTGGCACCATGTGACTGGGCTTCTCATCTACACTACAGGGGTTCATAAAGGAAGTTTAGGGAGACCAGAACGGGATTGCAAGGCGACCCTGGCTTTGAGCTGGAAGGATTTTGCTGCGGACCTTTTTGCAATGGGTTCATTTACAAATAATTTTCACATCACTCTGTTCTTTCCAGTCTGAGCAGAAATACCTACTGAAGAGGACTTTAAGGCCAGGGAGGAGGCATGGCCACCAAAGGCTGAGAAATGGCATGTCTAACCTTTCTCATCAAAAAGCTTAACAGCACACCCCCAAAAGCAATGGTGTGGAATAGCCGGGGAATTGTGAAGGGACAACAAGCATGCGTAAACTTGTGCTGGTCCTTCAAGGCTGCCTGGGGATGATGGGGGTTGTAGTCCAACCCATCTGGGGAAAGCAACAGTGCAACTTAGGGAATTTTAGGTTCAGCCTTCCACAATTTATCGTTGTTTCTACCTGAACCCTAATTAGAACATTGGTGCATGCATTTCCCCTGTCTGAGTTCAAAAGGAGGGCTGTACCACATGGTTTCCCCACTCTTTCCTGAGTGTGCCATCACACTGAGGCTTCGCATCTTGTGTCTCCCACCCCCAACCTGCTGCAGGTATGGTTCAAAAACCGCCGGGCGAAATTCCGTAAGGGCCAGCATGGACTGCTGAAGAAATCCTGCCGAGCCGATGCACCGACAGCTACTGGAGAAGGAGGAAAAGAAGGAAACGCAACTGAACCTGGCCACTCGCAGATGGCCTGGATAAATCCCACACTGGGTAGGGCATGGTGTGTTCTCTTTGTCATGAAAAACAGTGCACAGATCACTCTACAGGTATTTGGGAGACCATAAGAGCTTCAGAAAAGCCCTGCAGGATCAGGGCCAGGTCCACCCAGTCCCGCAGGTAGCTCAGCAGCCACCTGCAGGATTCCTCCAGAAGGATGGGGGCAAGACCTCCTCCTGCCCAGCTCCTGAGCGATGGGTACATGCAGGCAGGCCACCTGCACTGAAGAAGGGAGCCCATGGCCAGCAAGGCTAGTAGCCATGGAGAGCCGCCTCCTGCATCAATCCATCCCATCCAATCCCCCTCTAAAGCCATTCAGGTGGGTTGCCATCACCACCTCCCATGGCAGCTAATTCCACAATTTGGCTATACACCGTGTGAAGAAGGACTTCCTTTGATCTGTCCTAAACCTCCCACCTATCAGCTTCAGGGGATGACCCCGGGTTCAAACACTGGGCTGCGGGGTGGGAGCGGGGGAGTCTCCTCGGCACCTTCTTCAGACCAGGCATTGTCAAGCACCTGTCTCCTGTCTGCTGTTACTCGCATTCCCCCGTCAGCTCAACAGTTCCAGCGCTGAGGCAGCATCCAGGACTTGGGCTCCCAGATGCCACTGCGGCCAGGAGGAGGCCTCGGCCAGCCTTTGGGGGCAAAGGCATCCCACGAGATCCCTTCGGCTGTGCTGGGCAGACCAGGGAGGCACCTTGGAAAAGGGCCAAAGGGAAAGGGCTGGACTCCAGGGCGTGTGGGGAAGGACCATGCTGCTGATCAACTGCTCAGGCAGTGATGGCGAACCTTTTAGAGTCCGGGAGCCCAAACTGCAACCCAAAACCCACTTACTTATCGCAAAGTGCCAACACCACAACAAAACCTGAATAATGAGGTTTTAGTTTTGAAAAAACAACTCATACATTAACATTTTTTGTTCCACTGACCACCAGTGCAGGGGGGCAATGTGTCACTGATTTTAGCTTCTGCTACAATCACAGCCACTCCAAGCAAATAAATTCTTCACAAACAACTAAATATGATGCTGCAGATTCAAATATGCCAGGGGGACAGGACAACATTAAAAGAATCTTGGTTTCTTAATTAGAACATCTCTTCGCTAAAGCTTAGATATTCAATTTCAATTTTTCCTAAGAAAACTCAAAGCTAAAATCTTGTGTTAATAAAAATGAATGTATTAAAACTCACAGCCAGTCCAAGCAAATATACACACACACCTCTGAGCTAAGGCATGGCTGACGAGGGTCTGGTTAACCTGAAGGAGCGTCTCCTTCCATAGGTGCCTGCCCGCCCCTTAAGACCTGGGGCAGACGCCCTTCTCCAGGTGCCCTCCCCCAAAGGAGATTAGGAGGGTGCCTGCCCAGAGAAGGGCCTTCTCAGCAGTTGTGTCTCAATTCGCTCCCCAGAGAGGTTTGCCTGGCACCATCACTTTACTCTTTTCGGTGCCAGACCAAATTTTCCCAATGTATTAAGACCTGACTGTTTTAATTGGGGTTTTATAGTTAGCTGAATTTTGAGGAAGCTGTATTTTAAATTTTTTGCATCTTGTATTGTTAAACCGTCCCGAGACGGTAATGGGACGGTCTAGAAACATTTTAAACAAACCAACCAACCAACCCACAGATACAAGATGTTCCAGAAGATTACCTGTTGGGCTGTTCTTTAACTAAGGGCAGAGCTAAGGGAATAGGATTTCTTTGGATTAAGGAAGCCTGTCCTACAACCTTGATCCTATAGCCTGGTTGCTCTGGAGAGAGGTTGTTTCCACCCTGCAGGACAGAGGAGCGTCTTGGTAATGAAGCAACTTTCTCCATTTGCAGCTGCCGGGTTACCTTCTTCGCCCCGGCCGCCAGAATCCCCCTAGCCTGGCTTCGGCTTCCTTGTATCTCCAGCAGCTGGATCAGGTCCGGTTTCTCCTCCACATGGAGCATCACTACCAACTTGCAAAGCACTTGCAGCGATTCCTTAACCCTTGCTTGCCAGACCCTTTTCGTGGGTCACTCCTGGCAGTTTCCCCCACTCCTCTCAGCTGGAATCCTAGTGAAGACAAGGGTAGGTGGGTGAGGAGAGAAACTTGGGGGAAAGGGAGAGGGCCATTCAGCACCCACTGCGCTCAAATTGTTGTTCCCCGTTTCTCACCTGCAAGAGTGCAAACACAGAGGGACAGATCCCCAGATGGTTGCTATGAACGCCCTTTTACCCCAGCCTCTTGCTTCTGAGTAGGTGCAAACAGCCCTTGTGCATGTATACAAGATACACCTGGGATTACAGATTTGATTTCGACCACAGAGCAAGAGCCCCAGAATTCCCTTGCAGGGCAGAGGACTGATCTATGTAGGAGATTCAAGTGGTAAAATCTTGGGCTTTATCATTCTAGTCTGTGGAGGTGGGAAACATCATATCTCTGTTCCACAATGTGATCTCCCTGAAGTTAGAAAGCTAGCACCTCAGGGAGAGCACTCATAGCCCCTCCTGCTCCTGTCACTCATCTCCATCTCAGGATGAGTTCTGCTTCCTCTCTGCATCTCAGATGGTGCTAAAAATCCTACAGCTGGACAGGTTGGGGGAAGCAGTGGGCACAACCTGCATGCTGTTCATCTGTGGAACTTCCTGCTGCATGGTGCCTTTGAGATCAGGGTTTTCCCAAAGTGCACCAGGCAGAAATAGCTGACATATTGCAGGGCATTAATCCGCCCCCTGCCTGCAGCCAAGCCCTGTAATACAACCGCATCTGCTCAGACTTGTCCAACCGAGATTCACAAAGTGAGATTCCAGATCAGGGCATTTCTTAGACTGCAGCACCCTTTCAGTGGAGTGAAGAAACCCAGGAATAAGATACTGCTTCAGACAGCCCAGGAAAGAAAACAGTGGAACACAACGTGTTCAGATACAAGTGGCCACATTTGGAAGCCTTCCAGGCAGCTCTGTCGCGGACCCTAAGAGGAATCATAAAGAACTCATCAAGAAATGGCTCCAGGACTATTTAGCCAGAGGTCCAGTACATTTTCAGTGGTTTAAAGATGCTTGTTTTCCCCCACCATGCTAAATCCACTCACCTGAACAAGGACACTTGTAATGTTCACCCCATGAGGTTTTCTGAATGAGAATCATCTCTTGTCTGTACATTCTTGCATTTCACTTCTTTCTCATCTCTCCCCACCCATCCCTGCCCCAGGATGTGTGTATAAATTTCCCAGTTTGAAGTTGATGTACGGTGCATTTAATGGTGCACAGTGTCTGTGAAGGTTTATTCCACAATAAATTTGTTTGTCTTTAAGCTGTCGCAGGACTCTTCATTGTTGAAATAATCAGAGATGCTAAGAACACCCATCAGCGAGGGAGCTAACCTGATGCATGGTTTACTTTGTAGGGTGTGGGGCTTGTTTCCGAATAAATTCACATCGATTATGCTGTAAGCAAACTTGTGGAGGAGTCGTCTTGTTGCATCTCTGCGGAGGCTGCTTTGTGGCAAGCCTGGTCCATCCAGGCTGCACTAGAGGGGAGGGGAAAATTGGAAGGAGGTCTCCGGAAGGAGAACTGTGGGTGCTTTGTAAAGTTTGAGTTTATTTACACATATGCAGGTGAATTCAGATGGTTGAAACTCTCCAAGGGAAGTCAATGTGTGCTGTTCTTGCTACACAACTCTAGAGACACACCTCCGTCACCTTACGCTGTTATATACAGAACTCCTCTCCAATTCAGCTCAGCCCCTCTCTCTTCCCCTGTCTTTGGTCTGTCTCCCCACAAATTCTTTACACTCACACTCTGCTGGGCAAAAGAAATATAGACCCTTCCTTCTCTGTTCTTTTCCCTGTTGTTTCCAGAACAAAAGGTGTTCTTTAAGTAACTTTCTCCCTGCCAGTTATGGGAGTCAACTTTTGGTTCTGTTAACACTCACCTGCCCAAACTCTGAATCTCCTTTTCTGCACTGCTCAGTCCTCACCTGGAGACTCAGAAAGCAATATTGAATTCTCAGCATTAGAGTTTTAGGACATTGTTAGAAGAGAACAGAAAGTCCTCAGGCTGAAAATGGTTCTGTTCTCTAGTTGAAATGAATGGTAGAGAGCAAAACTTGAGCCAAATGATGCAGGCAGAACCCTTTGTACAAAATTCTCATGCAAAATCAATGCATTAGCCTTGTGGCTAATGGGACAGGCTAAACATCAAATAATAAATAATAAAATACAAATGGAACAGAACCACGGAGGATGTCTGGTTGCCTCTGTTTGTTTTGGGAACTCAAGTGCTGATCCAAATTGGGGAAGAAATTTGGAAAAAGAGAGTGCTGGAAGCGGCCCCAGCAGTGAGGCACCAGAAGCGTGTGGGTAACATTGAAGTAGGCAAGAGATGCAAATGGACTCATGTAAATATTGAGTTCACCGAAGGAAGGTTGTTAAGCCCTATTAACCTGGTGATGTCAGAAGGAAATACATCCTGATCGTTCTGTTACCTTCTAGATTCCGAAGACTCAGTGCGAGCCATATGGGTGGAGCAATATCTCCTTCTCTGGGAGTTCCTTGCATCAAGCTTTCAGCTATAAGGAGATGCTCCTTGATTTAAAATACGCTGTCCAGAAGTGCAGAGCACATGGGAAGACTTGGGGGTCTGCTTTCTGGGGGAGGCAGGAAGCCCTGCCTTTGAGGGTACCACTGTGACAGTTCTGGATTCATCTCAAGAGTTGTAAGATGCAGAGTAAACCCAAGACAGAAGCAGAGGCTGGGAAGAGGAAGTGCCAGCATCCAGGTAAATCCTTATCCAATCCCTGAACTATTTTCCTGGAGGGATGGTGCAGATCCTCTTGGCTTGTGGGTCAATCTGCTTCTGGTTTCTTCAACAAAGATTCAGGTCCCCTAACTGGACCCAGGTGCAGAATACCTGTGGAAACAGAGCCAGGCCCTAAACTCAGGCTGTGGGGTCTACCCCCAAGAGAAAAACCTAGGCACACCTGCACAGGTAAGCACAAGCCTCCCTCCAAGCACAGATAAGTGAGTCTAGCTCAAAGTTATAAACCTGGTCAGAAAAGTTGGACTGAGATCCAGCTATAGGCAACCGATCAATACCATATTTTGCCAGTGACAAATGTTGGGACTGCAGGGTGTGTGTTTTTTCACACTTGTCATTGTTTGAAATGGGTAACTAGCAGGTTCTGTCATCTGAACCCAGGTAGTTTCTTGCAGGATGGCTTATGTGTGGCTATGTATGGCGGCATTTTCGACCCACAGCCTGGGAGACTCGGGGAGCGGACACTGAGCTGCTTGTGCCAGCTGAATACCCCACTGCCCGTCCCCTGTTCCCCACCATCTCGCATGTGCCATTACCATTGGGGGGACCTCCCCCCCGCCAATGCCCAGGTGGCACTTTGGGGTAACCATTGCCCCAGGTTTTGTTTTTCTTTTTTGCCCCCAGGCAGGCATGTAAATGTCTCCATATTTCTTTAAAATCAGTCCTTTGGAGCTGCACAAGTGCACAGTTACAGTTATCTAGCACATATAATTTTGCTGATCAGTGACCTGGTAAGTTTTGGCTATCAAAAGGAGCAAGATGGAAACTGACAGGATGAGATTCTGCTCAGGCTGCCTGGGACAGAGTCACCAACCTGTCAACTGGAGGTCTTGCCTAGAAGAGGAAAACCAATTTGCTGTTTTGCAATGCATTTCACATTTTACAGTGCCAATCAGCAGAGTCTTTCACATTTTCAATACTTCAGCTGGGTTCCCAGCTATTCCAGAAGGGGGGAAATTCCTCCTCCTCCTCCTCCTCCCCTTCTTCCTTAAAAACCTTCTCTAAGATGCGCGTGTTGCTTTTTCTACTGGGAAAAATATGGGGATTTCATAGTGGGGAAGTTGATGGAGGGGAAAGATGCAGGGAATATTCAAGAAAGGAGTTTTGTCCAACTTCTCCCCACTTGATGTTAGTTTGCTGAGTTACATGGGTGTCAGTGCTGAAGCAGAACCAGGACCTCTGCAGTTCTCCATTGCTTCATTAAAAAACCTCTCTTAAAGAACCAAAACAAGATTGTTCATAGGTGCACATCTCCTGCCATTTTCAGTCTCTGGGGTTCTTTTGCGCCTTGCTCCTTTGCGAGGTACACATGTTGACAAAACGCTGCCAAAGGAGCCATCTCAGTGCTCCTCATTTCATCAGGACTGCTTTTTGTTGCTGCTGCGATGCTCTGCCGATGTGCAAAATGCAGCAAAAGTTTTTTTATTTTATTTTTCGATTGATATCCTGCCTTTTTCCTACAAAGGGCTCAAGGCAGCTTACATCATTCTCCTCCTCCATCTTATCCCCACAACAACCTTGTGAGGTAGGCTGGGCTGAGAGTCTGGGACTGGCCCAGAGTCCCCCAGTTGGCTCCATGGCTGAGCGGGGACTCGAACCCAGATCGCCTGAGTCCCAGTCCCATGCTCTTAACCACTACACCGTATGGCTTATTCCCAGCAGAGCAGTGGAAGCAAAGTGCCCCTTGTATTCCTGCTGTCTTGATGCGCTATGATTTAAGTGTATTTAGAATGTGAAAAAGCACAGGCTCGGAGCGTTTCTTGTTTTTAATCTGGGTTGGAGAACTGGTTTTGTTTTTTTTCTAACTTGTCAGTAACTTAGAAGTGCCACCAAAAGCAAGGGCAGCTGATGAGAACAGGGGAGGAAACTAAAGTAAGAAAGATCCCACCTCCCCCTCAGATCTTTAATGTGGTGTCTAAAAGGTTGCATTGCTTTGTATGGGTCTGGAAGTGTATTACTGGCTCATGTGGGACCATTGCAGATTGCGAAATTTCCAAACTGTTTTGTCTTCATAACCTGGGGTAAAATATCTCCATCGTTCCATTACCTCTGAAGTTTATTTTGCGAAGCTTGCGACAAGGCAAAGATGAATAGCACAGCATGAAGAGATGGAAGGGTGAGAGGAGTCAGGGAGATGTGGGGGTGGATGCAAAGGGTGTGGACTTTCCTGCTGGG